CTGAGCTGGTCTTGTCTGACTGCAGGTCGGGGTAAGGGGTAGGAAAGTTCCACAACGAAGCATCACGCTTGTGTCCTCATGGAAGGACCACGGGCAAGGTGCCAGTCTTTCTGGCCAGATTGTCTTGCCAAGCCAAACAGGCCATGCGCATCCGCTCTGGGCGCCATCAAAGGAGGACCGTCATTAAGATGGAACACGTGAACGTGAGACTGGAGTGCAGTTCCCCACGGGGGCTATCCCAGAAGCCAGTCCGTGTCGTTGCCCGAACATAGCCACCTGTAAGCTGGAACTTCCGGAGTGACAGCCTGTCACTTCCACTAAGACCTTTGAGAAGCTGATCGCACACGCTTATCGGCTAAGGGTCTGGGCTGGCGCAGGGCACCCCCACACCCCCACCCCCGTCCTCAACGGCAGCTACCGGATGCTGCCGGCCCGGACGAGAGCTAGAGGAGGCCATGAAGGGAGTGTGGAGGGGCTAATGCTTTGTCCAGTCCTCTCTCCTAAAAGATTAATCGTCTTTCTACTCGGAGCTGGAATTCTCTGCCTTTATTTTCCCCAGCAGCTGGGCCTCTGCAGGCTGCTGTGGGCGCCCCCCATCCGAGGAGGAACGGCCTTCTGGGGCAGGGGGGTGGCTGTCAGAGCCGAGAGGGCTTGGGAGCCTCTCCCACTCTCTATTCTTCTTCCTTTGGGAACTCACAGTGCTAAAAACAAGCATTCTGAGAACCATATTTTTCTGGGTTAAAGGTGAAAAATGCAGCATTTCCTCCAAGTGGAAAGCACTGGGGCTGCCAGCTCCGGGCACATTTCCGAGATCCTTCCTCCCACTCAGGGAGGAGGCAGGGCCTGCTCGCCAGGGGGAGAAGGGATGAGGTGGGTGGCGAGGGGAAGGCGAGGAGGGAAGTCGGAAGGAAAGCACCGGTTCCTGTGGAACCAGGGCAGTCAGTGTATGGAAACCCGAGGCCTGTTTGTGTTGGCGCGGGCCTGGAGGCTGGGACAGCACCGGCTCCGGAAATGAAGAGCTAATAAGAGGGTGGGCGAGCGGGGCGGCTATTCGGAGTGGTGCCCGCCAGGCCGGGGTCATCAGGCTGCAACTCGCGGGCTTCTGGCACACTGCAGGGACTGAGACCCGCCCCCCCACCAAGGCCTTCCAGAAAGAAATCCCACAACGGGGCTTAGAGGAAACTAAGCCAGTTTTAATAGGAAAGGCAAGAACATCCTCTGTCCTCACCCCATCCTCAGCCATCCTTGCTTAGAACACATGGAAGTCTGGGGAATTTTCTCAGGTCCTGATTGTGGAAAAGATCTTCAGGAATCCATGCTTCATGATATCCTTCCCGGGCGGGACAGGCATTGCGTTCACCTCCCGGCTCCCTGGCTCCTCAAACCTCTCTCTGGAGCCAAGGGCCCAGGAAGCTTCTTCGACATCCTCTCAACAGAGCTGCTACCCAAGGGCTATGCCACAAATCCTGTCCCACTGCTAGTTCCCCTTCCTTAGAATAACAGCATAGCTGCCCAGTACCAGGCAACAGGTGGAAGGAGGAGGGAGAACAGGGCCCAGCAGGGGAGGCTGGAGGAGGGGCAGAGATGGCCCCCGGGCCGGCCACTGACATCTTCACAGACCTCGTCCCCACCGCGGGGACAACCACGGCCAGGGGCCGCCTCACCCCGGCTGTGCGTCTCGCCCTCTGCTCGGTGACTCAGCAGCTGTCTCCCTCCTACAGAGGTGTGGTCTCTTTCTTCATCTCTCGCATCTATGGGCTTGGGCTAATAAGACATGGCAGAAGGGACCTGTGGCAGTTCCGAACCTAGGCTGTCAAAGGCCTTCCACCTTTACTCCAGTTTATTCCTCGCCCTCTCCTCCAGTACGAAGGGCATGCCCACCTACCCGCTGGTCCCACAGGGGGGATGAGAGCCACACGGAGCAGACCCAAGTCACCTCATCGTCCCCACCGAGGCCATCCTAAATCAGCCAGCCGCCACCCGAGTGAACAGGTCCAGCTGAGACCAGAAGAACCACCTGGCCAAGCCCGGCCGAGATCAGCAGAGTTGCCTGGCTGACCGCTCAATACACGAGAGCAATTAGTCCTTACTGGGGTATGACCCTGGGGCTTTGTGGCCGCCGGGCGTGCAGGTTTTTGTAGCAGTAGACAACAGAGGGAAGGGAAACTGGGGCACCCACAGACCCAGCTTGAGATGGTCTCAGCCACCGACCCCAAGTCTGAGTCCTCAGCTTCAGAACAAGGTTTTCATCCCCACCACCTCCACCCATCCCGTATCTCCTGGGTTTTGTTCACTGAAAGGGTGAAAGAGCCTGGTTCTTGGCTTAGGGTATACTGTCTCCTACCCTGTTCTCTGATCCTGAGCCCTCAGGTGATTAGTTCCTTTTGGGCCACCCTCTTCTGGGGCCCTCTTGCCAGCAGGACCCCTGCTGCCCCAGCCCCCCACGGTGTCGCCCTTTCTCATCCCTTCTGGACCCGCCCAGGGTGGGGGCTGGGGGGCAAAGGTAGCTCACAATTCTTATCAGCTTCCACACTGGCTCCCAGGATCTCACCCCTGAGTCATCGCATTTTTCTCTGGAGAACACCTGCAGGGAACAGATCATCTACAACACATCTCTTGTGGCTTCAGCTCAGCTGGATATTTTGCTAAAATAACAATGGTTTTTGTTTGTTTGTTTTGTTTTGTTTTGGCTGGAGGCCATCTGTGCTATGAAAGCAGCCCCATAGTATCTTGGGAAACACTAGTCCTAGCAGTCTCCAAGGAAAAGGTGTTGAGGTGAAGGTGGTTGGGAGGTGGTAAACGCCACTTTCCAAGACATCTTCTGATCGATTCCCTGAAGGGGACAGAGAATACCGATATGTTGGCTTAAGGAATGTAAAATTCTGGGCTGAGAAAATGGCACAAAATATTGTGCAAAGACATGAAAATCCAGAGTTCAAAAAAGCGTGTAGGATACAGACTGAAGGATATAAGAATGTAACAATATGATAATTCTGTATTTTCGAAGCTGATCGCTAGCAGGGAGATTTTGCAATTAACTAAAATAGGGCACAAAACAAACAAGACCACACTTTCTACCACTTGGCTTTCCCGCAAACTGTACTCCCAAGGTGACCTCCATAGGAGAGAAGGAATTGCCTTGACTGTTGCTGTTATGACCCTTGTCATTATTACCTCTATTGCTGTTATTCCTCCAGGAGGAAGGGTCCTGGTCATCAAAGGCCCCAAAGGCAGGAAGCAGAAGGCTGAAGCACAAAGTGAACGTCTCTAGTTTATTCATTTTTTCAGAATAATTTTTTCTTATTTTAGAAAGAGAGAGAGAGCAGGGGAGGGGGCAGGAGAGAGGAGGAGAGAGAGAATCTCTTCTCACAGGCTCCACGCTCAGTGCAGAGGCCAACTTGGGGCTCGATCCCACAACCCTGGGATCACTACCTGAGTCAAATCAAGAGTCGGACGCTCAATCGCCTGAGCCACCCCGGTGCCCCATTTTTCAGAATTCGTAAACTGCCCACACTGGGCTTGGCCCAAAGCTCGAAGTCTTTGCTGCACAAATGGTGCACACGTAAGAGGAGATTCATGACGGACTAATTATAGGCTCTTACGCGAGTTGGATCATATTTCCCTTCTCTTTGGGGACAGTGTTCATCTCACCTTTCCCTTAGCAAAGTCCCATCCTGGAGATGTGCCAGTGAGCCAGCTGCGTGCAGGGTCACAAGCGTGAACAGCACTGGGGCATGGCCGACGGCTCAGAGGAAGCAGTCCCACGTCTCTGGTTCTTGCCCAGACACTCGGACCATGCTGAGGGCACCCCCTGGCCCGGAACAGCCTTAGAACAGCACTGTAAGACTTGCAGGGATCATTTCTACTGTTCGTTACTAATTGTGTGAGTGTCCCTTTGTGGACATCGCCTCTGTCAGGATCCGTAACACCGCCCCCAAATGAATACCAGACCGAATGAAAGAGTTCTAGCCTTCTCATCTCTTTTATTCAAGTTCCCTACAGACATCCCCCCTCGCTTGAAACAAAAATGACAGTGACCAACCTCAGTAACACAAGTAAGTGTCTTTTAATCTGCTTATTTTGGAAGCTTCATATTCATCTCCTTGAGCCAACGTTTACCAAAAGAGAATGGTCAGCTCCCCAACGTGCTCACCCCAAGCTACCTATCCCACTCCAAATGATGCCAAAAGGGCCCAAACAAGTCTCTTTGGGGAGAAAAATTTTTGGAAGTGTGCAAAGAATTCAGGGTTGTCCACGCCAACTGGCAAAAGTATACTGTGCAGACAATCTGCAGCTATAAAAATATACACATACAAAAAGACAGCTACAAAATCATGGTGCCCATTTTCTTAGATTTCCATTATAAAAAGTAGGGGTTTTCCATTAAAGGTAAACTGGGGGGGGGGGCAGCATTATAACTTTGATTCCATGTCTAGTCTCCCCTCATCCTTATTTTCATGGAATAGAGCACACTGAACTAGCCACTGAGGAGTGGAAGGGGTTAATCCTAATAATTCTCGGACCAAGGTGAGAAATTCGAGGTTCAAGGTCAAATGGTCATTCTGCTGTCAGTAAGAGTGTCATGAGTCAGGGAAGGAGGGAAGTATTTTAATCCTGCCCTTTGGCCCTTTGGGTCTCTTTTTTTTTTTTCTTTCTTTTTTTACGCACTATGAATCACAACACAGTCATTGAGCTACAGCAGACAGGCTCTGGAATTTGCATTGATGTGTGATCTCTGGCAGCCCCTACACATTCAATGGAGAAAATTCGATGCTTCCTACACAGAGTATTCCGCTGGGTTTGGCCCACATAGTGTCAGCAGGAAAGGCCACACAGGGACTCCTGTCTTGGGTCTCGTTTCTCACCAGAGCGTACTTTCTCCTTGATGAGAGGAAACACACCTGGTCCCCGTGCCTCTGCGTATGGCATCGGGCAGGGGCTCGGGGCCCCTGGGATTCTCAGGATAGAAGGCTGTGTCCCTTGGGCAAGGCCAGCTGGTGTTACTTGGCTCCACAAGTGTTGATGTTTTTCCCATCCACGGCGTCTTCCACGAGGGAAATGTGGTAATCAGTGGACAGAGTAAAATGAGAAATACAGCCCACAAGGCCTCGCATGTATTGCCTGTTAGTGTGCAGAGCAATTTCCTTCATTCCACCTGCCAGGAAGCAAGAGGGAGAGGAGGTGAGCCAAACGGGAGGATGTCTCTTTAGGACACCTGTCTACTGACCAAGGCGTCCCTTGGCTGACACGATGAGTGAGGGCTATCAGCCCCTTGAACTGCTCAGTGCACAGCCTTTGTCCAATTAATGATTACCCCTGAAGGAACAGGTTGACTGATATCAATCTGACACACACAATCGCTATTTACACCCTCCTTGCATGTGATTTCTGACCCAATTGACCACTTATAGCCAAATAGTATCCAATAAAATTTGAAATGTTATATAATGTCAACAAAATGTAACATGTAAATGTGATGTCATCTTAAACAGAAAGAAATACACTGATATTGAATGCTTTCAATCAAGTGCACTTTTAGGAACTATCACATGGATAGAGATGTATTTTCAGGTTTCTGTATCTGCAGTAGCAGGTTCTAAACTATTTACAGAAACACCACTCATTCTAATTCTGAGAGGGCCAAAGAAAGATCCTCCTTCCTCAGAGGGAACTTTCGGAGCTATATTAAGCAGGTTCCTGTTCTATAAACAAGAAAAGCATGGTTTTCCTGGTGGCTCAGCCCAAAAGCACAAAAGCATCTAAGTGCTTCCTGCCCCCTCAGCGATGAGTCAGAAGTTCAGAAAATGGAAGAAGAGAATATCTGGCAGGCTTCCCAATTTCTAAGTATCTGATCCAGTGAAGTACACCGCTTTGGAGAGCCCCACCATGAGAAATGGAAGATTAATGAGAAAACACTGGCATAATTTAGACTTGGTCAAAGGTCACTTACCCACATACAGAGCTCCATTGATGTTGAGCTGCCTCATCATGCCAGGTGATTTGCCTGTTCTGGCCCCATAGTCATCCACAGTTATCTTTCCAGATTGGCCATCCCTGTAGAAACCGTGATTTTTGGAGCTTCATTTAATTACCCTCCATTTTAATAAAACTGTATTCAAGTACCTACTCTGTGCCAGGCACCATGCTAAATGATAGAGGTGCAAAAATGAACAAAAAATTCCTGGCCTACAGGAGTATATGGTCTACCGAGGCAAACAAAAAATCAAATTGTAAATGACCAAATCGTGCCCCCAACTCTGCAGTAGAGGAATGCCAGGATACTGTGCAATTACACAAGAGGAGAGAGGGTCAGGGAAAGCTTCAGAGGAGATTCTGAGTTTCGAAGGCTGGGTAGGTCAGGTGAAGGAGGAGGGTAATGCAAGCAGGAAGTGGCGATGCCAACGGGAGAAAAAACAGGGGACTGGTACAGATTAAGCATAGAGAATTCCGGAAGTGGGAGTAGAGCAGCCAGAAGCAGATGATGAAGGGCATCTCTGCTGACGGGAACCAGAGAAGAACGTGTAAGGGGAGAAGTGGTCGTGACATGATGGCACATGATGTGTTTGAATGCTATTCTAAGCAAAACGGGAAGCCAGTGAAGCAGGTATTGTAGAGGGAGGATTACTCTAGGGGAGGACAAAGAACAGCTTAGAAGTTTCTAAAGGATTTAGAGAGTCACCCAGAAGGGACTCTGGGCACAGTGGAGTGGAGGTATTCATCTGTGGCAAGGGCTTTAACCATTTTCTAAGCTGATTTCCAAAACTACCCAGTCCCATGACCTTCAAAAAACTGCCTCTGTTTGTACAGCTTTTGGAGGGGGTGTACCAACACAGGTTGCACTTTTTTTTTTTTTAAAGGAGTTCATTATTGATCTTCTAATGTTCCTTTTTTATAGCAAACTGTTCTTGTTTCTTGGGTTAATAGCCTTTCTTCCCTGACAATTGTAATATGTTTTATCTTTTTTTTTTTTTCATTCAAGTCTGTTTCCTTCACATTGTTTTGTTATGTTAATTTGTTGTGATACCCATCTTTTACACTGGAGACTTTTCTCAAATGCCCAGTGATTTCTGACTGCCACTTCATAGTCAAGTGAAGAAAAAAAGCACTAAAAAGCAGATTGGAAGCTCTGTGTGCAGGATGGGCTCTGTTGACTGTGTGATGGGCTTCATTGTGCTGTGATCTGGCTCAATCATTTTCCTGGGGGACATGCGAATTTTCTACTTCCTTTACTGTGGAGTATAGGCATGGCTGCCAGTGCTCTGCAATCTCACTGGAGGAAGAATTACAGGGTTCTTAATATTCAATATATGAGCTTGAACACGTCCCCAGCCCAGTATACGGTCCAGTATTTAGTTATGCCTAGTGCCTCTCATTCCAGACCCTTATTTCACTCTTCCAAAGAACTGCCTTTCATTATTTTCCCATGGTTAGGCAAAGGGAAGTGTGCCAAATATGGGAAGTAGAAAAGAAGTTTGGGGTCTAACTCTTCAAGTAAATTCAAGTACATTTTTTAAAACCGATCTTCCTGCTTTTAGCCCCTCCTTCACCTTCCAGAGGTTCCTGGCTCTACCTCCTTTTTGGGGGTACACTAATATAAATCTGTCGCCTGGGCCTCACATCTTGGTAGCAACTCTTCTAGTAACTAGCTTTAGAGGTAATTCTGTTCTGTCCTCACCCTCGATACCACATACTGCCTCCCTGTTTTGGATATGCTTTTTTTGGATCTCACACCTGAATGCCGTGATTGGCAATGCCCACAGTAGTTCGTTTTGCCTGACTTGCTGCCATTTTCCCCCCTCCATTACTCTAAAAAATTCCATTTTTCCTATTTCATTTCATCAGTTCTAAGAATTTTTCATTTTGTTATATCTCTGAAATGAAGATACTTCTTACAATCACTGGCATCTTATTTTGAAAAAACATGGTATCGACTTCTAATATAATAAGTAATATACTTCGCTATTAGGTCCATTACTTATTGTCTACTGCCTCCCGTTAGAACGCAAGACCATCAAGGCAAGGGTGATGGTATTATTCGATGATGTGTCTCATGTGTCTGGAATAGCACTACAGTAGATGAATGAACAAGTGAATGTGTGAAGCTTCAACATCCTCGTCTGAAATGGGAGTAACTATGCCTATCCTACGAGGCTACTGATGAGAGATTATACGTGCAAAGCACGGAGCATGGTACCTGATACGCAATTGCTGTACAAAGAGTAGTAGAGGAAGATGCTGCTATTGTTACCAATACCATCATCGTTCTCATCTGTAAAACGAAGATCACAAAACCCAAGTTGCTGTGAATATTGACCAAGATAAAGTATGTAAGGCACCTGGCATCTTGAAGAACCTTAACAAATGAAGATTTGCTTTCTCTTTTCTGCTAGGATTAATTCCTACAAGACCAGGATTACTCAGAGCAAGACAATGTAGGAAGCAGAGCTTCCCTTGGAGATCTCTTCTTCATTAATTCTTCTATTTCTGACTCTGAAGCCTGCTTCAGAGAATTAAGGTATTCATCCAACCCTTCTAGTTCTAGTTGAAACCCATGGCCTTAACCCAGTTCCTGCTTGGATCTGTTGTACTACCCCTTCTAGGCCTATCTGCTCCTCTGGGGCACAATTTATAACATCTGCTTGAATCCTCCCATCTCTCCAGTTCCTGGTTAGTTCCTTCTGTTCAGTCCTCACTGCAATCTAAGACCCACAGGCAGAGATATCACTGGTTACAATAATAACAGTCAGGTCTACTAAATCATTTTTGTGGTGCCAAGCTCAGTGCTTTGACATTCAAAGTCCTTCTGTTGGAACATGCCCTGTCTTATCCCTCTAAAACATCTGAAATCCTAGCTGGGGTGGGCTGCCACTCCATGGGGTGGGATGGAAAGAGCTTTGATCTAAGATTCTAATTTTGGTTCTGCTCACAGAGAGTTGTATAGTCTTGGGAATGTCACTTGACCTCTGTTCCCTGAGATGTCTAGGAAGTGTCTAGAATCCCCACCAGTGTGTATCTTGATGAGCATAATCAAACCACAACAATTTGGAGGATTTAATAATCATTCCACAATGTCTGACTATTCCACCAACCTTCTCGATTCAAGGAAATTAACAACAGGTGTTCTCTAATGTTCCCACGATGGGAATTAAAGGGATCAAATGTGGTATTTCATATTCCTTTGGATGATTCTGAGTGAGCCCTTTTACAGATGAGTAAAGAGAGAAATATGAAGAACTCAGAAGCTATATTGTAGTATCTTGAAGTTGAACTACGAGCATTTAAATTTATATCCTAGAATATATTTGAGATCAACATTATAAATACTCACTATGGGAAAGACATTTCCTTTTTTCAACCAGTCAGAGCTAGGGCTTCATAAAAATCACTGTCTCTTTTCAAGGGCTTTCTGAACCCCCCGGGCAGTTGGCATGGCTCTGCCTCTTTATCGTTACACATCTTTTCAGGCATCAGAGGTAGGCAAAATGGGCAGGACACTGGGGTCCATCGAAGCTACTCCCACCATAGCCTACATGTGAGCCGAGCCGGAAACTGATCATGGTAGCCCCATGTTTCCCAAGCCTTACTCATGACCTCACCCACCAACCTCCTCACGGAGGGCTACGGTAAATGCTCAGGGAACCTGACCCAAAGACTCTGTTCAGTTCATCTCCTAGAACCTTCATCTAACATGGCAAGAGTGAATTTTTTTTTTTTTTGCATTTCTTTTTTTTAATTAATTAACTCATTTTTTCATTTACATCTAAGTTAGCATATAGTGCAACAATGATTTCAGAAGTAGATTCCTTAATGCCCCTTAGCCATTTAGCCCATCCTCTTCCCACAACCCTCCAGCAACCCTCTGTTCTCTATATTTAAGAGTAAGAGTGCCACTTTTTTATAGAGCTAAGTTTAAGCCTGGTGCTATTTGGTTTCTCAGAATATACTGTTAAGAATATGGACACAGGTAGTAAAACTCATTTTAAAGGAATCATTCACCCAAAGTTAATCAGAAGTCAAGGTACTGACCTCTGTGAGAGGGGAAATATGTAATTGGGGCAGGTTACACACAGATTCTAAGGCTCCGTAATGTCAAAAAAAAAAAAAAAAAAAAGGAAAAGTAGGCAATTGCCTAAACAATGAGAGTTGAAGCATTTCTTAAAGTCCACATGCCCGGAAATCTTATCCCACTAGAGATATCTAGCTCTCACTAGATAGCAAGGCCCCCTTCCACTTTAGCCATCAAAGAGTTCTTTCTCCAGAAGGTCACTGTCGAGTGAAGATTTGGGAGTTCAGCCTCCCTAGTCTGCCAGTGTTTGGGAAAAGTAAGGTGGAAGTCAGTAACAAAATGCCCTGAAAGACCCAGGTCAGAAGTAGTAGGATGCCAGGCAAGGTTGGGGAACAGGACACTGGGGCTAAAGGGACTGGGATAGCACATCAACCTCTGTCTCACCTTTTGGTAGGTACTCACCTAACAGCCTTGACTCGGTGCCACCGACCATCATTGAAGGAGCCATTAACCATGATGGATGCCACACCACTGCCCAGGTTATAGCTGACAGCGTGGGGGAAGAACAAGACAGACAGAATGAAGTACTATACTACAGGCAGCCAAGCGTGCACAAACGATTCTCATCGTGAACATTCTTTGGGACTCAGAATGCAGTTTTCTTAACACGAAACAAAACAAGGTTATAAAAAGCATTAGGTTTCCAGGCTAGGCCATGAATGATTAAAAAAAAAAAAGTTTTCTTTAAATCTTAGTTGTAGTAAAATACACATAACATAAAACTTACCATTTTAACCGTTTTTAAGGGTAGAGTTTAGCAGTGTTAAGTATGTTCACATTGTTGTGCAAGGAATGACCAAAGCTCTTTTTATCTTGCAAAACTGCAACTCTGAGCCCCATAAGCTACAACACGTGATCCACCCTTTCCCCAGCCCCTGGCAAACACCACTCTACTTTCTGTGTCTGTGACTTTGACTATTCTTGGTCCGTCATATAAGTAGAATCATACAGTGGTTATCACTTTGTGAATGGCTTATTTCACTTAGCATAACGTCCTCAAGGTGTTTGTTTGTTTGGGCCCCATGTACAGAAGTGTCAGTACCATAGTATCGCGAACAAGAAGGGTTTTATCATTTGTAATGTGTGCTACTAGGTTAAATGATGTCTCCTGAAAATTAAGGTTCACCCAGAACCTCAGAATGTGACCCTACTTGGACATAGGGTCTTTGCAGATGTAATCTAAGTTTATGATGAAGTCATACTGGAATAGGGCAGCTCTAAATCCAATATGTCCTTATAAAAAGGGAATTTTTGGACAAAGAGAGAGACATGCATGGGAAAATGCCACACGAATATGGAGGCAGAGACTGAAATGATGCATCTATAAACCAAGAAACACCAAGAATTGCCAGCAACCACTGCTACGTGGGAGAAAGGAATAGAACATTCTCCCTCAGAGGCTCTAGAAGGAACCGACCCTACCAACACCTGTGTGTTGGACTTCTATCTTCCAGAATGGAGAATTAATTTCTATTGTTTTACGTCACCCAATTTGTGATAACAGTCATGGCAGCTCTCAGAAACTAATACACGTGTTTTCGCCTTTTGAAAAACAAAACAAAACAGAACGTTGCAGAGTAGGCTGAGCCCCAAAGAGATCAGGGGAACTTACCTGAAAATCCCCAAACTAACATATAGGACTTAACTTGGTATGTTATCTGCTCCTCCCTCCCCATTTTATTCTGACATCAGGTCTACTCAGTAGCTTTGTATTTTCTAGTGCAGTTTCCAGATACCCTCCTACCCCGGGGTATCAGAAGACATGCACATGTTGTTTACGAGAGAGAAATATCCCTCTTAGTCCAGTGTTCATTCAATAATTCTAATTTAATTCGATTCAACAAATATTTGGTGAGTGACTACTCCAGGCTGGGCACTGGGCCAACTGCATAGACCTCCCCTTGATAATGTAATAAAGCCTACGTAATCATGCTCTTCGAAGAAAATGTGTTCCACCAGGACACCTCTCTCTTCATCTTAGAAGAGGACATATCTCTCCATTACTTCACTGGCCAAGAATTAGGAATGTTGAAAGGAAACCTGGATTAGTTACTGAGCTCCTGCATGCACTCGCTCTGAGAAGACAGCAAGAACAGAAAGCACTTGGCTTTCCCAGGGAAAGCACTATCGGTCCTTCCTGTAATAATGGCGGATCAACGGAGTCACACAGCCCATAGACACTGAACCAGGCACAGAACCTGGGCGACTTGACGAACCAGGAGACACAGTTGTCACTCCGATCCTGAAAAGTTTACTGCTTTCTAATGAATTTTCCCACATCCTGTGTCCCCTTGTATGAAGCAGCCTGCAGGTGGAATTGTCAGATTTCATTATTTAGTGGCCAAATACTTTTTGAAGAAACGAACGAATACGAAGCAGGGCCAAGAGCTGCTTGGCAGCAACTGAGCTGAATTACTAGTGTGGCTTTTAGGAAAGGTAGCACAGGGTAACAGAAAGAGCATCAGCTCTTGGATTGGACTAGCCGGCCTTGATTCCCAGCATTGCCAATGACTAGCTCTGGGACGTTGGCCATTTGCCTGATCTCTCTAAGCCTGTTTCCTCATCTGTGAAATGGGAGTAATATCTTCCCTGAAGGACTGCAGGGAATATTATATACAAAGAGCACAGCACACAGTAAGATCCAAATAACCCCATTACCCCAAATATATGCGGTCTTTAATGCAGCTCATATTCAGGGTTGACAATACATCTGCAGGAACCAGTAATAAGGAGAAAGTTGCCACCAAGAGTTAAACTCATCAGGCCTCTCCTGGAAGAGTAGTCATGTGTGACAGTAAACCCACAGTCTGTCAATATGTAACTAAAAAGGCCAGGAACACCAAGTTTCTGAATCAGGGTGACTTGGGTAAAATCTCAGGGACGCTAGACTGGAACGAGACTGTGATCCAGTGAGTGGAAACCTTTCAGTTGATAAGGCTCCTGTTCATGCAAAGAGCCCGAAAGTGCTCAAGGGAGTCAACACTGAACCTGGCAGACAGGAATCCAGCCCTCATTGTGGGGTGGAGGTTGGAGGGGCCACTCGGTTGGCATCTCCACGACCTGACTCTCCAATACCCAACACCACTCTATCTCACCCTCCAAATAACCTCTTGCCTCTCCAGACACCCTGTCACTCTGGAATATCTGCTTTTTGCAATGATAAGAGATCAAGAACAGTGGTTACCTGTATTGGGAGAGGGCATGAGAGAGCTTCCCTGGGTGAGGGAAATGTTCTCTATCTTGTTCTGGGGGTGGTTACACAGGCATCTACATGTTTAAAAATTTACCAAAATCAGGGGCACCTGGGTGGTTCACCCAGTTTTAAGCGTCAGACTTCAGCTCAGGTCATGATCTCCCAGCAGTTCTTGGGTTTGAGCCCCACGTCGGGCTTTGTGCTGACAGCTCGGAGCCTGGAGCCTGCTTCGGATTCTGTGTCTCCGTCTCTCTCTGCCCCCTCCCCCCCAAAAAATAATACACATTAAGAAAATTTTTTTTAATAATGTTTTTTTTTTTTTTTTTTATTTTTGGGACAGAGAGAGACAGAGCATGAACGGGGGAGGGGCAGAGAGAGAGGAGATCACACAGAATCGAGGGGTAACAGGCCTCCAGGGGCTCCGAGCCATCAGCCCAGAGCCTGAGCAAGGGTGAATCCGAACTCATCAGACAGCGAGATCGCGACTGGCTGAGGTAGTTTGACGCGAACTTGAGCTATCTATATGCCCCTTTTTTTTTTTTTAAAGGTGGAAATATAGAATGAATGAACAAATGAATGTATATCTGGCTTCTCTATCAATGCCTTGTTAATCTGGTTAGCATGAATCGCTTATTTTAGTCCAAATTTACCTACTTAACTTGCTGTGCACGAGAAACTATGGGGTTGAGCACCAAGGGGGGGGGCTGGCTCGACGAGCCACCAGGTGAGGCCTTTTGGAAACCACTCGGCTGCCTCCATGTGGTGACACCCCTGCTTAGTCACGTTCCCTTCGAACTGTAGCACAGGGCACTTTGCTAATGGCACATCTCTTCCTTTTTCTCTCTTGCCTGAAAATGTTATCAAGGTCACACGGAAACAGTGGGAAAGACGGTCAATCAAGCGATTGTCACAAACCTGTCCACTGGGTTTTATGCCCCATATCCAACCATAAAGCGTAAGGAAACAAAACAGCCAGTATCCACACACTTGGATTCCCTTTCTTCTACTTAATCTTGCACACGGAAACACAGAAAACATTTGCTCAAAGATCACCATTTTAATAACCATTACCACTAACTGCTAGATATGTCAGGCCCTGCATTCTGTGAATTAACTCCTTCAATGCTCACAACTGTTTCCTTTCACAGAGGTCAGGTGACCTGCGAGAGGTCACACGGCCATGGGAATGGTGCAAACCTGACTCAGAAGCCCACGCTTTTGATCATTTCAGATGCTGTTTCCTAGGGCGTGGTTCCTGACGGCACCCACTAGGACCTGGTCCAGCAGAATCTCTGGGGGTGGTCCCAGGAGTCGACCTCGGAGAGGAGCTCCCTGCTGACTCTGTACATTGACACTTTCAACCCACTGGCCTGAACTCTAATTCCTCTCTCTGCTCAGCCTCCCGCAGCCGAGCTTCCTACGCAGTAGGTGCTGGGTGAATGGATGTGGGAAGGAACTGCCCAGAGGAAGGAAAAGCAGCAGAGGCAACAAGGCTGTGGCCCCAGGCCCAGGGGCGGGCGCAGATGTGTGCCTTGGTGGGGGTGAGGTGGGCGATCCCTTACACAGAACACAGCTAGAACTCCAAGGCTTAAGTGAAAAACACTAGGCCCGTTTTCAGAATCCCGAGGAAGAACTGGTATCCTAACAAAAATGGCTGGGATGCTGTGGAGTTGTCAGAAGGGTCTCTGGGGGGTGTGGGAAGTGGGGGTGGCCGGCTGTGGGAGCCAGAGGGAGAGCTGTGCCGGGAGGGCCCTGGGCCGAGCTCCCATGACTGGGCTGAGTGGATGGGTTTTAGCTGGCGGTTTAGGGGGAAGTGGGGCCTCCCACCCACGGCCCAGCTACTGTTTCAGTTCCCTTTTCTGGGCACAATCAAGCACTTGAGGCCTTGGTGAGGTTAACCACAGGAAAACCACAAGAAAATGGCTTCGCGGCAGCCAGCCTGAAAGTGGGGTGTGAAGAGCTCTGCCTTTGACCTCGGGGCCAAGCGGGGGAAGGGGGACCAGCCGGTGAGAACTGCTCCCACCGGCCAGCCTCTAGCTTCCAACCACACGCGCTCTCACTAGAACCCGGCAATCACAAGACTGCATGGCTTAGCGTGCTCTGCTGTCTGGGGGCAAGCGTGATGTTGGGCAAGTGACATTTCCTCTCAAGATGCCTTTTGTTCAAACTGAAAAAGACTTAACGGTTATTCTACTCTGGCTGTCAGTAATCCCAGTGCATGATCCACAGAAGCCTCAGAATTAAATCTTCCCCTTCTCCACAGGTCAGTCATCTTTGTTTTAATTCCAACTGATGCCCTATCATGTACTGAATTTGTGCTAGTCACCAGAGGAGGAATTAAAAAAGGGAAAGCCAGATAAATTCCTACCCCCGTGGAGCAGACGGACGATCTAGAGACACGCAGGGGTTTCAAACATTAGCAGACACAGAGTCACTTGGGGAAACCGTTAACACAGAATGCTGGGCACCCCCCTAGAGTTTTTCTGGTTCAGTAAGTCAGGGGCGGGGCTGGGAATCTGCATTTCTAACAAGTTCCCAGGTGACACGGATGCTGCTGGTCCACAGACCACGCTTGGGGGAGAGGGGCAGAGGGAGAGAGAGAATCTTAAGCAGGTTCCATGCTTAGCAAAGAGCCTGACACGGGGCTTGATCCCCGACCCCGGGATCACAACCTGAACTGAAATCAAGAGTCGGACACTCAACACACGGAGCCACCCAGGTGAACCTGGACAAGTTATTTCTAAGCTCGAGTGAGGATGTAGCATCAAAATCTCTACAGAAGCTTTTTCATATCACACAAGCCAGTGCCTGCCTGGAGAAACCCAGCTCCCGCCCAGTGTGGCGGGGAGCAGTGGTCTAGGAAACCCTTTTGCCACTTCACAGCCATCCATTTGATAAGTTTGAGAATAGTCTAAAGTCACTCAAAAGAGGTAAGAACTTCTGGGACTGCCTTATCAGTATCACCCAAGAAGCATTTACAGAAAGCCAAATGTTGGGTCGACCTACTGACGTATGAATCTGTGCTTTGCTCTTCTTTGCCGTGGGAGATTGGAAAGCAGGCGTTCTCCTTCCAAAGGCTGCACAGCTAATAGGGAACAGAGTCATAATTTACATCCAGGTCTCGCGACCTTCGATGGCTGCATCCGTCTGAGCTAGCTTGAGCTGAAGAGTCATATCCATGCTTGGCGCTATCAAAGTCCTCTCTCTATGACTTCCTAATTTCCAAGTGGGGAGCATATGGCTGCAACATACTAGAACAGGGGTCAAAAAACTTTCCGTGAAGGGCCAGATAATAAATATTTTAGGCTTTGCGATATAGTCCCCACTGAAACTACTCAAGTGTGCCAGTGTAGCACGAAAGCAGTCAGATAATATATAAATGAACAAGTATGGCAGAATTCCAACAAAACTTCATTTACAAAATTGGGTGGGGGGCTACATTTGGTCCTCAGGCTATAATCTGCTGACTACTGCTCTAGAAGATGGATGAAACATCGAAACACCAGGAGCGTCAAGTAAGCCTGGCGCTTCAGGCAACAGTCAATTCCAGCAAAATGCGTGCTAGCTTACTTTGGCATGACTCTGTTTGGCATGATCAGCACTGAGAAAAATCGCAAGGTGATGCTGCAGACAGCTGGTGAGGGGGTTACCTGAACACCAGGGCTCCATCTCGAAGGCCCAAGGAAATGAAGTCACTGTTGGGCCTCATGGGGCTGTCTCCCCTCCACAACAACAGGCCATCTTTGGCAGTTGTCTTAAACCTCATGAATGCATTTGTTCTTGATCCTGATACCCTGGGGAAAAAAGACAAATAATTGCAACAAACCAACCAGTGCCCACCGACATCCATTCTGCATAATCCCAGTGTTGGCCACCAGCCCCAAGAAGCCAGGAATGAGGGTCATCTGGCCTTCCCGATACTTACTACCAGGAAATTAAAAATGGCATCACCACCACGAGTCACAGTATGGGTCTAAAATGCTGGACTTCTCATTCTGCAGCAGTGTCCCTTCCCCACATGTGGTGAAACTCCACGAGGGAGTACTTGATGAGTCACAGAGTAGCCAGAGTCTGGCCAATGCCAGCATCAAAGATGCACCACCCCCTATACACACCTAGGTCTTTCCTCTTTCTTGTCCCACCTTCATGGGGCCTTGGAAAAGCGCTCCTTATTCCCCAACAGAGAGTGAGTTTCTTAATTGCCAAGGGGTTCAAGTCAGCAGCCCTCTGGGCTATGATCATGGCCATCGATGGCTTGCTCTGGCAGGGACTGTCCTTTAGGGCAGAACAGGAGGCAGAGTGCCAGATGGGGCAGAGTGCCAGTCAAGGAAGGTGGCTTGATTGGATAATGATCTTGAGAGCTATTGGGGCAGCAGCAGGGTGGGGAGGAAGAGGAAGCTGAGAGGAATGGAGGGATGCTCAGGCAGGTCAGCTCCCTGCCCCTACAGCCATGGCTGGGCATATAATCACATGCTTATGTGTTCTTATCAATTCTTGGGAATAGACCAGTTCAGAAATCTAGTCTCACTAAAGTGACCAGGGTTTTATCTAATAAAAGGAGAAGAGCAAGCATGAGGTCCTTACATCAAAGTGAGATAAAAGTAAACATAATTTAGCATTACTCCTAATATGGCACTACTGGGAAAGTGTCTTTTTCTATTTTCCTATCGCTCGTGCCATCCTTCTGTCTCACGTACCTGGTCAGGAGCTGTAGAGTATATGTTAGTGCAGATCTTCCTCAACTTACTATGGGGTTATACCCTGATAAACCCATCATAAACTGAAAATACCCTAAGTCAAAAATGCATTTAATACACCTAACCTACCAAACATCATAGCGTACCTTAAACGTGCTCAGAGCACTTACATTAGCCCACAGGAGAGCAGAATCATCCAAAACAAACCTTAACGTAAAGTGTTGAGTGTCTCGTGTAACTTACTGAATACCATACTGAAAGTGATAAACAGAATAGTTGTATGGAAACAGAATGGTTGTAAGTGCTTTTGTGGTTCACCCTCCTGATGGCGTGGCTGAATGGGAGCTACGGCCACTGCCCTGCACTATGAGAGAGGATCATATCACACATCGTAGCCTGGGAGAAGATAAAAACTCAAAATTCAAAGTATAGTTTCTCCTGAATGCACATTACTTTTGCACCACTGTAAAGTTGAAAAATCATTCAGTCAAACCATCTTCACTCAGGGATTATCTGCAGCGAACAGGGGAGGGGACTTTTGTCTAGGTTTTCCAAGAGCCCGACCTACATAGAAAGAGATCAAGTTTACTGTCCCCATACAGCGCATTAGAGTGAAGCAGTGAGAAGCAGGGTCCATAATGGTGACTTTGCCACCAGGCCGGGTGCAGAGAATCCAGCCCTGGCCTACTCACTAGAGATCTGCTTTTTTCCACCTTTTATTCCAAGTTCCTTACTTCTTTTACTTGCTCTGGATACATTGACTAGTATAAGCTGATCATTAATGGCTCCATTTCTCTTGCAGTGATTGGTTTAGGGGTGGCCATGTGACCAATACTGTCCAATGAGATAGAGGAAATTTATCAGGAGGGTTCTAGGAAAGATTCTTTTCCTTTTAAAAAGAGTCAGATGTTGGGGTGCCTGGGTGGCCCAGCTGGTGAAGCATCTGACTTCGGCTCAGGTCATGATCTCATGGTTCATGAGTTCGAGGCCCACGTTGGGCTCTGTGCTGACAGCTCAGAGCCTGGAGCCTGCTTCGGATTCTGTGTCTCCCTCTCTATCCACCCCTCCCCTACTCGAGTTCTGTCTCTCTCTCTGAATAATAAACATTAAAAAATAAAAACAAAAAAGGCACATGAAAAAAAATGTTTACTTCCACTGGATACTGCCCTGATTTATAGCCATCTTATGAGCATCTTACGGACAGCTGTCTTATAACCATGAAGGGTGGGGCCATTGGGGAACTTGAGGATAACAGGAAAGGAAGATGGAAGAGACTTACTCTTTGATGATGCAGTTGAATCGCTGACTTAACCAACCCCGGAACCACTCTAAGTCTGGACTGCTTGTTATGTGATGTGATAAATGCCCTTCATTTTTCAGACATTTTGAGCTGAGTCTTCTGTTATTTGCAGCCAAAGGCATCCGACTGAAACAGACCCTGATCTTGACTTCCACTTGCAGCTTCACACACATCTCATATACATGCGTGTACACACAATTGCTTTGGTTTGGGGTCCTGCACCTCCTCCTCTCACCAAACCCCTCTACTCCCCCAAACCACCCGATGCCTCTTACTAAGCACCAGGGTGCTCAAGACTTGGGCCCTCTTCACACTGCCTTGTTTTCTGGGGACTGAATGCCCTTCCGTTTTGAGGGGAGAAAGTGCTGAAGAAGGAAGAAGCTCTCTCTCGGCTGGGAATCCCTATTTCCTAAGGCCCCATGCAAAGACAACCTAGATAAATACAACCTGGAACTAAAGAAATGAAGCAATGCCTGCCTGGTGTGTGTTCCGAGTTACCAGGGACATCCAATGCCACAAGAAAAGGTCTCGTTACTACTTCTGTCCCTTAAAAGCCCCCAGACTCCACCCTAAGAACTGGGTGCCTTTGGCTTAAAGCTTTGCCTTAGTCTGTTAAGACACAGTCAACCAGAAGATGAAGGAAAGTTCTAGAATGATGGTGTTGGTGGCAGGGTTGGGGGGGGTGGCACCCTATAAACTACAAAGAACCAGAGGAGGAAAAAGGAGAGAAGGGCAAACCAAAAGCACCAAAGATGCGTCTCACAAGGGCGAAGACTTGGCCTGGGCCAGCCTTTCCCTTGTCCTGTAAACATGCTCCAAACCAGGAGAATTGGACTGCAGAGCAGTGCTGGAGCTCCTGCCACCAGGGATTGAAAGCCACGGCTAGGACGCGGGCTTCTCCTTGTAGCCACATGAGAGCTGAGAAGCCGCTCCCTCAGTGGGCCAGAGCCTGCAGAGGACAGAGGACCTTTGCTGAGGAAGATACAAAGCGGCACCTGCATTTGAAGACTGGCTGGCCGCGGGAACACTGGGGCGCTTGGGCTAATGGTTCCGGGCAGAACCGCAGACTGTGGCCACAGGACAACGTGAAGCGAACTGCCCCTCCCGGGGACTCATACTCATAACCTTCTTGCTTCTCAAAGCCCGAGTATCACAAATCCTGGAGCTGGGTAGTTTCTCTCTCCAGGCCCTTTGACCAGAAAGGGTCTGGGCTGTTTGTAATGGGGTTGTTCGAAGGGCAGCATTTTTCAAGTTTAGTTTGTTTTTTGTTTGTTTTGTTCTGGTTTCTATGTTTATGGTGTGTGTGTCCCCCCCCCCCCCCCCCCCCCCCCCCCATCCCGAGGCCACAGCAAAAAGGACTTCTTTGAGAGTTATCTTCCGGCACGTAAGATAAGGAAAAGTCTGGGAAAGACTCAGAAATCTACCCCCACAGAGATGAGAATGGGGCCTGCTGTAACTTCTTACCTCTTGAGGATGTCTGGATTGTCATAGATCAGGTAACTGCGGCCGATAAACTGTGGAATCTCGATGGCTTCTGTGATTGCTGAGACAGAACAGAAAATGGAGGTTACATGGAGTATGGCTCCCTTGACCCCAGCCCTCAACCACATGGCAGGAAAATACAAAGGAAGCCAGCTCCTGGAAATGGGACATTTAACAACCTGTCAGCCCCTTCCTCTTGGCTGCACATGCACTTGGCCAGGTTCAGAACTGCCTGTCGTGGCTGGGAGTTGGTGTCTCCCTGTGGTTGCCTCCCTGGGGCTGGCTGTCACTGCTATTGGCCTCAGCACTACTGAGAAGTCCTTGCAATATGTTGAAACTTGAACTGTGCCCAATTATTCTTGGAATCCAACGAGCAGGTCCGGGGCCATGTGGGGAACAGCTGGGGATAACCCTAGATGCTCTCCAAGGGAGGCAGAGAAAACATTCTCCGAACAAAGCCCACCAGGACTGCATTGTTTGAAGCCAATCTGCCCCAGGACTCCTTCAGCCATGACCTCAAGAGATCGGTGAGGTGGGCAGGATAAGGTTTATGACTCTTTTTTTTTTTTTTTTTTTTTTTTTAACAAATCACCTCCCAGTGTTACATTTCATAGGATCTTCACTACAATCCCATGAAGTAGCAGGGAGTATGAAGGAGGGTTGGTTATTCCCATTTTACAGAAGAGGAAAATGACGCACAGAGTCATCAAGGATTTGCCCAAGATCACACAGCTAAGACAGCAAAAGACCATAAGCCGAAGGGTTCTCCTTAATTCTGGCCCTCAGCCCACTCAGCAAAAACTTTCCAGTATTTTAGAAGTACGTTTCCTTCTTTCTAATTTCTCATCACTTTGTTTTCCTTAGGAATCACCCGTTTCCACACAGTTAGCAATATCTTTTCCTCTTTAGAAATGACAGTTTAAGGAAATTAACATGGAATGAATCTCATTTTCAAAGAAATGTGTATGAGATGAGAGACGAAAATCCAGCTTATTTTTTTATTTAATTTTTTGCAATGTTTACTTCTGTGAGAGTGAGAGAGAGACAGAGACAGAGAATGAGCAGGGGAGGGTGGAGAGAGAGGGAGACACAGAATCCGAAGCAGGCTCCAGGCCCTGAGCTGTCAACACAGATCCCAACGTGGGGCTCGAACCCATGAACCGTGAGATCATGACCTGAGCTGAGGTCAGATGCTCAACCAACTGACCCACCCAAGCGCCCCTAAGGCAGCTTATAAAACGAGTTCTAGTTTCACAAAAATACGCAGTTGACACAAAGGAGACACTGAGCTGACTCTACACCCAGGAGAGGAAGTGTGTAACTATTTGATACTAAGAACAGTAGGAGAGTTGAAGCATAACTTCTTAAACATGAAGAGAGAGAGGGAGAGACAACAGCAAACGCTCAAACCCGATGACACTGAGCCCCAATAGAAGGTCCTCTGTTGGCAAGTTCCCAAAATCTTTTCATAAAAAATACAAAAAAAAAAAAAAAAAAAAAAAAAAAAAAAAAAAGTAAGGAAGGAGGGAGAGAAGGAAGGAAGGGAGGAAACAAGAAAAGCAAAGGAAGAGAAGTGAAACGTTTAAGATCGTTTCTGAGGGAACTATGAAGAAATTGGTCTATTGCTCTCTGGTGCAGCACAGCCCTGGACAGGGGGCAGCCAGCTGAGAGGGCCTATTAGAACCCAGAAAGGCTCTTGCCGTCCACACTTTGAGTCGCTTGTGGTCGGCCGCGGTGCAGAGGGACATCATCCTCCTGACAACCCTCAGGAAGTCAGTAGGAGCGTGACGCCTTCCACCTCACTCACCTCGTCACACAGGCATTTTATCATTTCATAGCATCACAGGGTGGGGACAGTCCAATAAGATATTTTGAGGGAGAGACGACAGTCACGTAACTCTTATTGCGTGTGTTGTTACATGTATGTTCTATTTTATTATTAGTTATTGTTGCTAACCTCTTACTGTGCCTAATGTAGACATTAAACTTTATCGTAGGTAAGTGCTTACAGGAAAAAACATAGAATATATAGGATTCTGTACTGTCCGTGGTTTCAGGTATCCACTGGGGGTCTTGGAACGTTTCCCCCACAGATAAGCGGGGGGCTATTGTAGCTTAAAATTCTGGTCGCACCACCAGCCTCTCTCCCTTCTGGTTAAAGTGCGTAGGAGGAAGAGGGGAAGAAAAGGAGGGGAAATAGAGGAAAAAAGAGTGGGGTGCAAAACAGCACAAGTTGAGTAGAAAAACAAATGGGAAGAAGGAAAGAGAAGGGAAAGGTTCGAAAAGAAAACGATAAGGAAGGAAGGGAGATGGCGTGAAAAGAAAGGAGAGCCAGGTGGACAGGCAGCCTTCAGGTGGGGAAAGAAATCAGGGCAGGAAAGCCAGGCAGAGAGAGAAGGACCCAGAAGAACAGAAGCAGAAATGAGAGGGCAACAGTGGATGAGGTAAAAGGGGGCTTGCAGCTAGGAAGCGCGCCCCTACTATCAGGATACGAGTGCCCAGAAGGAAAAGGGAGAGGCTATCCAAGCTGACGAGTCCTCGTTCCCAGAGCTAAACATAGCCAAGGCTCCCCTACTGGGCTTGGCTCACCCCCAGGGAGAGAGGCACAGGCAGGGCCCATCCCTGCTGTTACTGGCCACGGACATGGGCCTGTGGCCAAGAGCCATCGTTCCCCTGGACTCCTTGAAATGGTCAGGATGTTCTTGTCACATGTCATCAGCTCTGCACAAGGAGAGCCTCAAAGGGGTCCGTGTGAGCCCAGTCCGGCTGCCTGCTAAGCCCCCTGGCTCTGGGGCTCAGGCTCCTCCTGAGACGAGCTGGGAGACCAGCGCATTCTCAGGGCTGGTGGTTTTAGAGGGAGGATTCCCACTACCCTGGTAGAGTGTCCGAGGCCCTCACCATTTCCCCGGATCCCTCTGCATGTGGTCGGCCCGTGCTGTGCCCGTGGCCTGGCCAGAACTCTCCCAGGCACGAACCCAGGGTGCTTTCCCAGTGTCTCGTGGAACGTACTGTACTTACTATTGAGGCAGTAGTTCCCACACTCTGCCAGGTGCCAGCATGGAACAGAATAGGGAAAGTCAGAATTCCACAGTCATTATAAAATCCCAATTCTCTTGGTTGCAGATCCCTGAAAACCAGCCTTGTTTCCCTCATAGATCCCTGCAGAGGGCCCAGCTCACCCTCCTAGGGGAATGTGAGTAAGAATCCCAAAGGGACCACTGGGATCCTTCTCAGCAGGATTACACCAAGTCACAGACTCACCTCCCTAACTAAGTCTTCACTGAACAGTGGGGGTGGGGGTGGCGGTGGGCAAAGAAGAGATTTAAGTAAGTTGTCTGACACTTCCGAGGCTCCCCTGACCTTCAACCAACAATCCCCATTTATTCTAAACCTGCAGAAGTAGTTCTTTGCTAAAGAGTCACTTACCTTGTCCATGATTATTACTTTCCTTGCCTTAGACTACATGTGAAAGAGGAAAAGACGAAAAGAGCTGCCTCTTTTCTCTCTCTAGTGGAAAAATACCACCCCAATTCCCACCTTCACCTCCCCTTTGGCAGATCCAAGAACCCTGCTTATTCTGTGATTAACAAACGTCAGGGGGATGCTCCAGAAATGACATGACTGAGTGCAAAATGGAGAAAATGTACTCACTGTAGGCAGTACATATGGAGAAATATTAATTCCATACTAAAACATTAGAGCCAGAAATGACCATCTTGGCCCTTTCTGGCCCTTGTGGTTTATTTAAATATTGTAAACATGACGATGTTTTATCCTAATCTAATTTTTTTCTACATTGTCTTTTTTTCTGCGGCAACTACACTAGTCGACAAGTATTTTTGTCACGTCTTTCCATTTATACCCAGAAGCTTGTGCCATCTGCTGACACACAAAAAAATACCCCAATGAATAGCAGCATCCAAGCCAGGCAAAGCGAATTTTCCACTTGAGGGACCTGAAATTCCCAAAAGACTCTAAATAGTTTGACGGGAGTGCTGGCTCTCTCACAGGACCACAGCAGAGGAAGGACCTGGGGGGTTGTGATCTGACTTTCCCAACACCATCCCGATGGTGGCAACTCCCTCATCCACAGGGCAGCTCCATCCCTTGCTGGAAAGTTCTACTTGGTACAGAATTCTTGGTTACATGACGCCTACTCTGTAGGCACAGAGTGAACAACAACAGAATACCTTTTTCTTTATGACCAGCTGTCAAGGATCTCAAGAGCAACATCTAGGCCGACCACCCCCACATGTTTCCATTGTTTAATGATACAGCATCCCAAGGGGAAAAACTTCCCTGTATTATGCATAATTAATATATTTTTTAATCTGTGGTTCTATATACTGAGTTTTCACATATTATGGCCTATATTTACTGAAGCTGTTTTTTCATACACTGGGACCAAATAAATAAATAACAAAATCATCTAAATCAGACCCAGCTGTCCATTTGCTAAGTACAATATAAAATGTTCAAAATGTTGCATTTGTGGTGTATCTGTAATGACAAGGCAAGACCCGATCTTTTAGGACTGCGCTTCCCTGACACATATGTGACCAAACCGGTTTGGCTGTCAGTGGTGAGTGGGGTACAGCCCACCTGCTACAGAGGAACACCCCCATCTAGTGGCCTGCAGGGTCCTGCACGATCTGAGCCCAAGCTTCTCGGCAATGCAGGGAAGGGAAGGGAGGGCCAGGGCTGAGTTCTTTCCCAGGTGGCCTGTGTGCCCTTGGCTGGGAGAAGCCCAGGAGGAAGAAGCTGTACCCTGTACCCTTGTCATAGACACTCGGATCATCGCCAAGGCCCTGAGAAGTCCCGCAGAAGAGAGAGCTGTTTAATTGTGGTTGCTCAGGATTACCCAAGCTTATTTGACCACGGAACCCCACTGCCATTTTGTGTATGTGACTGTGTGTCTGCCTGTCTGTGTGTGTGTGTGTGTGTGCTCAAAGCAGTCATTAATATTTGTTAGAACCTAATTTTTTACACGAGCCTTGTGAAACTCTGCTTTAACTTGCTGGTCACTTAGATACAGGAACTCTGAGGGACTGGACACAAGATGGGTAAATCTGGATGAGAGTAGAGAGAACAGAAATCCCTTAGGATGGGGCATACATTATATGAGGAGGGAAGACTTGGTGATGCCCCTCTGGTGAAATGAGAAGGGGGTCTCATATTGGGGTGCTATATGGGATGCCTAAATTTGAGGTGGCAGGAGGCATCTAAGTGTGAGAGCCCCCAAATGGAAGGTGAGAGAATCACCAAAGTCAGGCTTTATGGTTTTTGTAGGCACCTGAAGTTAGAAGCAGGCTGGGGGTTAGAACTTCTGGTACATATATACAATGGAATACTACCCGGCAATGAAAAAGAATGAAATCTTGCCATTTGCAGCAACGTGGATAGAACTGGAGGGTATTACGCTAAGTGAAATAAGTCAGTCAGAGAAAGACAGATATCATATGTTCTCACCCATATGTGGAATTTGAGAAACTTAACATAAGACCATGGGGGAAGGGAAAACAAAAAACAAAAAACAAAAAACCTTACAAATGGAGAGGGAGCCAAACCATAAGAGACTCTTAAATACAGAGAAAAAACTGAGGGTTGGGGGTGGGGGTAGAGAGAGGAGAAAATGGGTGATGGGCATTGAGGAGAGCACTCGTTCGGACGAGCACTGGGTGTTGTATATGAGCGATGAATCATGGGAATCTACCTCCAAAATCAAGAGCACACTGTATACTCTGTATGTTAGCTAACTTGACAAAAATATATATATTTAAAAAATTTTAATAAAATAAAATAAAAATTATTGGGGGGGGGGAAGAACTTCTGGCTTCTCCTGTCCTGGTGGGTTCCCCACTTTGGGCTGGAGAGGCTCAGGTTTCTGTAGCTCCTGGCGCTGCGGGGAGCCTGCTGTGCCCTGGGAGCAGCGAGGAGCTCAGCGGGAGCCCCATCCCGACTTCCGTCTGGGCTCAGCCTTGCAAGAACAAAGGGGGAGGTCCCCAAACCATAGCGATGGTCTGAGTGTCTAGCACCACTCCAGGACTCGTGTGAGTTTCTGGCTCCAGTCCTCCTGTGCCACCAAGTGGTGAGGACGAGTGTCCATCTCCCAGCGAGGGCCCTCGTGGAAACCGCCTGCCTGCCACAAACTCCCTGACCGGGTTGGAGAAAACTAGACTCACGAGGATCCCCAAAACGAAATTCCTGAAGGAGGTGGTATGGACTGAATGAGGTCAGATGCTGGCTGACGTCTGCAATATGTCGCTCAATGTAAAAGGACTGGTTTAACTTCTGGAGGGGATACTATGAATAGGTTTTTGCTTTTGAAACATTGTCAGGGAAGGGGGAAAAATTTAAACTTTTAACTTATGAAGCTAGGGATCACCTTGCTGGATTTGACAAGACTGTCTCCTGTCTACTTGTCAGGATTCATCCTGACAACCAAGGATGGCTTCTAAGTATTCTTGGTCTCCCCGACTAAGAATCCACCCAACTTTTAGAATGTTCTTATGCATCTCTAAGGAAGAGTGTAGCTGCCTATCTCTCTCCCCTCTCTTTCCCATCCTTACTCAGGACTAGATGCTCACCCCAATGAGTCTGTATGGCAACTGCATACCACTGGGTGCCTGCTGGGGCCTGGAAAAAAATTGTCCTTAACAGCCCTAACCTGTGCCCAGGCGCATTAATCCTCTCAAGCCACATGATGGGAGAAGACATGATACAGGCCATGCTCCCCATGTATAAATCTTCCTAGGGTTGGCAACAGCTGCCATTCTGCCAGGAGCATTATCTTTATTTCATAGTCTGCCTGGGTTTTACTCTCGACTCTAGCCGAGCACATTGCAGAAAAAGAGGCCTAAACGTCCCCTCACGTTCCCCCGGCTGCTGTCCATTCCCTTGGATCTTGCCAGGAGGCCCAGGCCCTGCATGGAGATCTGACTCCTCATTCCGGTGAGATGTGTTTCTCACTGAACCAGAACCTACAGTTACGAAGCTATAAATGTGAGCGCTTTGCACCTGCCATGGCTGATATTCTACAGTGGGAAAGGGGGGTTAACAAGATCACAAATTATCCTGTTCTTCTTCCTTTCGTTCTCAAAGCTGCATGTTCATTTAAGCCTGGACTTTATATATTGACCATTAATGTTAGCATTTAAGGCAGGAGCAAACCTGAATTGCCTGTGGTAAAATTGGAGACCCAGGAAATTCAAACACTAATGTGTAAAATCCAAACTCAATTTTCTGAATGAATGGGCTACTCTCGAACTAAATCTCTGCAAGAACCCACTATTAGCTAAACAACGATTTGCTTGTTAGAATTATAATCAGGATCTTTCAGAAATGGATCAATTACTCTTCTTTGGAGGTTCACCGCTAGGGTGAGCTATGTTAATAAATATATTTCATATAATTTGCCAGGCAGTTTTCAGAATTCATTTAAATATAATACTACTCAGGCTTCCAGCCAGCAAATTAGCATTCATATTTCCCAAGACTGTTGCAAAACAACTTCTCCTAGCATTCCATATACCGCAATATCTACCTGTAACTTAACAGTCTTTCCCTAAGCCTTAATTCTGATAAAGATCGGGAACCTGGAAATAAACAGGAAAGAGAGAGAGCACATCCCTTCACTTAGGCTGCCCCCTGCCTTATTTCTTTTGGCCTGTCTACCTTTTTTTATTAGTTCCCGGACAGGTGAGGCCATACTGATGTTGGAAACAAGAAGATCCATATGGCCCAACATGATAACCATATGCTGGCAGGCCTCTTCTAGATACCAGATCCGTGGCCTCTGCCTCCCTAGGGCAGATGTGAAAATCTCAGTCCAGCAGGGACTCACCATCTGTGACTTGCTCTAGCTTTCAGACAACGGAAGGTAGGGAGCTGAGTAGCTCACCGCACCTGTAGTGCATTTTATTTTTCTCCCCAGTAACAACATGGCTAGTCCTGGCTGAGTACTTACCAGGCATTGTCTCAGCAATATGCATCATCTCATGTGGACTAAATGAGGACACTACTGTGTTAGACACTATTGCCTGGTTATTCCCGTTTTACAGATGAGAAACTGAGGCACAGAGGAAACAGCATGAAAACAGCACTTTACAGAAGGTTATTTGTACTTGTAGTTTGAAGCAACCTATTTAGAATTTATACATTTCTGTATTTGGTGCGATTTCTCAGCCACATACAGAACACTTTTTTTTTTTTAACTTTTTTTTAATGTTTATTTATTTTTGAGAGAGAGAGAGAGACAGAGCACGAGAGGGGGAGGAGCAGAGAGAGAGGGAGACACAGAATCGGAAGTAGGCTCCAGGCTCTGAGCTGTCAGCACGGAGCCCGATACAGGGCTCGAACTCACAAACCGTGAGATAATGACCTGAGCCGAAGCCGGAAGCTCAACCGACTGAGCCACCCAGGCGCCCCTAGAACACTTTATAGCGTTCGCAGGAAGGGGTCAAAATAGTTACCAGCCTATAAAGTCTCCACCTACGAGGACAGGCATGGCTCAGGTGCAGGGGTCCTGGGAACCCCCCTACACTATGATGTAACCTTTTGGTGGCTAGACCCTGAGGGGATTCTCAGGAAAGAAGCCGTTTACCTACTGTTACAGAGGCATTTCAGCATTTCAATTCTTGTTTAATGTAACAATTAACCATCTCATATGCTATTGAATACGTTACTGAAATCAATGATAAAAACCACTGGCACGGCTGTCCCGGGGTTGCCAGATCCTTCTGGAAAAGTCGGTCCCCTCTGCTCCCCGGTGCAGCGCCTGAGCCCCGCCCCGTGTACCTTTCTGGCAGTGGAGCCCCTCGAAGCCCAGGGGGCAGTCACACTCATAGCTGTCCTTCCTGGGCCGGCAGCTGCCCCCGTGCGTGCAGGGGGCCCCCACGCAGGGGTGGGCTGCGTTCTCCACGTTCACGCCCCGCGTGAAGTCGTGCTTCACGTGGATGGTTCGGTCGTTCAGGATGATCTTCGGGAGAAAATGTAAACACAGAAAACATCTTTGCAGTCTGCTAAAGCTCCCCTCAGCCTGTTAACCTCAGCTACATGTGATGGGGGAGCTTTCATAAAAGAGAAAGTGTCTGGTTCCTGTTTTTACCGCCCAGTAAGTGATGCAGGCACTGAAGTGATGCTCTGTGGCCCTTGGGAGAATCTGCAGAGAGTAAAGCGTCCTCTGGTCCTGGAAGATTCCGGGAGGTCGTAAAGAAGTCTCAATAAATACAAAATTAAGGTTCTCAAGCTGGCTGCCTGTTAGAATCGCCTGGGGGACTTTAAGAAATACACTAATGCCCCAGGTCTCACCCAGATCAATGGAATCAGAAGCTCTGAGGGCAGGATCCAGTCAACAGTAACTTTTAAAAGCTTCCCAGGTGATTCTAAAATGCAGCCAAGGTTGAGAGGTGCTGCTATAAAGCCAAGTGGGGAAGAATACAGAACGAAGTATCATGCAGGCAGAAATCAAAGGGGGACTGACGCCTTCTAGTGGCAATGGGGCTGGGGGAAGCTTCTCCCTGTACCGCTGTGTTCTTCTGGCTGATGGTCTCGTGTCATCTACAGCTCCATCAGTGGGGTCTCCCAGATTGTCCCATCCCTTCCTGTTATCCTCTCTCCCTGACACTCTTGAATTCCCTTCCCCACATCCCCTTCCCCACTATTAAAAAAAAAAAAAAAAAGTGACACTCAGATCACATTCTTGTCATTGCTGTGCAAATTCACTGGGACAAGAGGGCTCCATTGCCTTCACTCCCTTTTCCCTGCAATGGGGGTCTAGTGAAAATGATGAATTACAGGGAGAGGTCACTGGGTTTCCCAGCCCCAAATAACGTCTGGGGGACCCAACGTTTTCAGCCCTCCACTTGGAGAGTGTGTTTACCTTGAGCTGTTGGGTGTTTTGGTGTCAGGCAGGCTTTGCAGAACCAGGAGACAGAACACCTCTCAGAAAGACCCCCACCCTGCAGGGGGTCCTAAGAGGTTAGCCATGGTCCTTCCTGCCACTAATCCATGGTTCCATAGGCCTGCCTAGTCCTTGGAGGGTGTCAGGAGAGTTAGGAGAACACTTTTTCCCAGTCTTGAATCTTACAGCTGCAAGAGAGTAGTCAGAATCCTTCTACAATCTTCCCCTTTTCGTGCTTCAAGGGAAAGACTGTGAAACTCAGTCATACGTCCTTGAGACAGGCCAAGAGGCTACCATCCCCTTCAGGACGTGGCACAGCCAGTGACTCAGCCACTGGGAGGGGCGGGTGGCCTTTCCGGGACGTGGGGAGGAAAGGGTTGTGTGTGCCACGTGAAGGGGGCAGGGCAAAGCCTGACAAGGGCAGGGAGGGAGGCGGGTGAGACCTCTTAGCATCTCAGCTTGATTTCTCAGTGAGAATTTCAAATGCATGATGAAACATGGCCAGACCCACTGACAATGGGCTGAGATGAGGTGTCGCTGACATCACAGTTCAGCAACAAAGGGAAACACCTCAGAGTCAGCAAATATTGACTGGACCCCTTTTCTGTGCTCCACACTGGGATACAAGAGGAGGGGAACAGAGCCCCACGGGGCCCTTCCTAGTGCCCAGATGTGCAAATCACAGTAGGGCTTTCTTTCACTGTCTTGCCTTCATTTTAGCCTCTCTCATGTTTCACCCCAAGTCTAGAAAGACCAATGGCCCGCATTCCACCACTGGTTGCTAAAGGAAAACAGGACAAAGCTAACATCCAGCAATCGAATATGCTTTTCTTCAAATGCTTTTTTTCCCTAATGTTTGATGGTCCTGGAAATCTGGTTTGGTGAGTCAGCCTGCACCTCTGTTACAGACAAAACATATTATCGAAACTGGAGAGGTCATGGGCAGCCCCAAGAGAAGGGATCACAGACAAATATGTGTGGGGTCAATGTCCTGTATCTTCCACTGGCTGCATGATTCCACCCCCCCGCCCCTGAACCTTCTATGGAAGGACTCCTTAATCTCTGCTCTTAAGAGCGTGGTTACATGATTGATGAGCTGCAACTGCTTAATTGCAGGGGTAGGAATGGGGGTGGAGGTGGGATGAGAGTTGGCTCTTGACTTGAGCAGGAACTTCAAAGGCACCTCAGAGAGAAGCACAGAGCCAAGAGTTGCTCTGAGACTCCACTGGCTTCCTTCTCTTTGGTAGAAGCCTGTCTGCAGCCACCTGATGCCCGCTGCCTCCCCCAGCAATGCCTGGATCCTTCGGTGGATGTATTGTAAAGACTCATCTTCATTGAGTTGCTTTCGTGGAATGTCTGCTGGACGGGGGCCCAGGAGCAGGCGTTATAAGAAAATGGGGTTGGAAAGCTATGCTGCTAGCATTAAAAAAAGAAAACCTTAAAACGTGAAAACTTCCTCCAAGCTTCTTTTTTGGATCCTGCAGATTCCACTGATCACGGTTCTTAATTCCATTGTCTGTAGTCAAGGTCACACAATAAACATGCAAAAGTGAAGCCTGTACCTTCTGGATGCTCCCACTAAAGGGCTTGAGGATGCCCGAGTTCTTCTTCACATCATCGTAATTAGGGACTCCACCAATAAAAATGTCCGTGTTGCACTTAATCTGTGTGAAGCCTCCCTGCCAACAGATGAAAACCAAAACATGGTTTAGCTTCAGAAAAGGTAGTAAGGTCTGCCAAACGGTAGAGACACCTTGAGGACCCACCGCAACAGGCCGGCTGGACTTTCACGTTGTTTTGCATTGCGACCTTACTGCCTGTTTGTATGTTTGGAAATGTATTAACCTCTCTGGGACTCAGTTCCATCATCTATAAAATGGCAGCCATCATATCTACCACATAGACACGTCACGGTGAATGTGGTGGGCCGCATCACTGTCCACCAGTATTCAGCGCGTCTCCAGAAGCGCCCCTTCTCCCTGCAGGGAGATGACCTTCAACCTGTTGCTCTTGAGTGGGGCCAGGTAACCTGCTTCAGCCAATAAAGCATGAACAGAAGGGAAATGAATCACTTCCGGGCAGAAGGTTTCAGAGCCAGAAGGTGACTCACAGTGCCCTCTCCCTCTCTCCCTGTTCCTTCAGCTGGGGTGTCAGATTAGAGCTGCAACTGAACGTTGATGGACATGTAGTGCAAGTAAGAAATAAATCCTTATTGTAGCTGATCTTCTGGAGCTGTTTGCGACCCGCTTGAGCGCAGCCTAGCCTCTCTTGGAGGCAGAGAGCCCACCGATTTAGCACTTTGCCCAGAGTTGGATGATTAATCAGCATTCCAGTCTGACCAGCTATTGTTATATTAGGCAGTGGTAAAAATAAAACCTCTTCAGGCCAAGAAAAAAGGAAGGCATGGTGGGTGGGAGGCATTCCTTGCTATCAACTACAAAGGGTAGAGAAATTCTTCTCTTTTCCAAATTCTCAGAAAACTACCCAGGTCAACCCCCAAAGCCTTGCCCTGTTACCAGTCATGTCAACAGCTTAAACTCTAACGGGTGGGCTAGACAACAAGCTGTGTATAATATTTAATGTCTAAACTCTTTCACACATGAGCTGGAAGCAAAATGTGAAAATGTCCTAAGACAACAAATAGAGATAAATGGAAATTTGAGACTCTAACATAAATCATTATTTCCTTTGATTTATGGTAAAAGGAAATATAAATAATAGCAGCATTTAGTCATTAATTTAACAAATATTACTGGGCATCTACTGTGTCCCAGGCACTAAATGCTAGACAAACAACAGTAAATAAGGAAGACCTGGTTTCTGCCCTCAGAGGCAGAATCCAGACACATAAATGGGCAGGTGGGATTAGCTCAGCAAGGGCTGCTCAGGGGACTCTGGATGCACTTGAGGAGGGAGTGCACATATCCTACCCTAGACACAGACAGTCTGGGAGGTAGTAAAGAGTCAGAATTATAGAAATCAGTCAAAGTCAGGGCTTGAGAGGAATATAGTAGGTATAAGGGCAGAGGCAAGGAGGGGCCAGATACTGCATGCTTAGAAACGCCCTCTACCCAAAATGCATCAAGCTTTAAGCAGAAAGAAAATAGTTATATCTGTGTTTTAGGCAGATTACAGGCCAGAGGGAGGAGAACGGACTTGGGGTCAGGTCAATATAGAGAAGGAGAGACAGAACAGAGAGGAAGGGACAGGATCTAGGAGAGTCTCACAGTGCCCAGGTCCCACCAGGGAACAGCATGGAGGTCTTGATTGGAACATAGACAGAATTGCCTTCCATCAGTAACCTTGGGGCAGCGTTCTTATTTAACTAGGCAGGGGTTTGGGGAGGGGGAGGGGAAGGCAGTGTTCATTAAAGAAGCAGAAGGCCTTTCAGGAATTGTAGTGGCTGGATGGAATGCTGACCCTGGAGGGAGCTGTTACCACACCGCCCCCGCCCCCCCCAGGCCCCAATCACTGTCTTAGCTCTTCTAAAGTTAAAATAAGATAGTAAGTGGAAAGGAGAAAGGTTGCAGGGTCAAAGGGATGTCAGAGAAACAGGCTGTTTTGAAAAACCTTTGAGTTACAGTTGTATCCAGTGAACAGGACCTGGCCTCATGGGGTGAGAGCTGGTTCCTTTTGGTTTCTCATCAAAACCCTCCCCTGCACCCCTTCCCCCTGCCCCCGCCAGCCTCTGCCCCCCCCCCTCCCTCCTGTTGACAGGAGACAGGGCTGCAGCTGCCACACCCACAGGGAACCGCAGGAGAAAAGCAAACAGACCCCACCGAAAGGAGGCTTCGCGTCTAGATCTGCCACTTCTGTTTAGCTGGAAGTGGTTGGAAAACCTGAGCAAAGCTGCTGGTTAGGGTTTTCTGGAACCCTCAGAGGCACATCCCATCCTTAAGTCTGGCATAGACTCAACCCTTGGCTGTTAGTATTTCTCAGCTGAGCAACCCAGAGTTTGGCTTTCGCATGGACACTGAGGGGCCTAGGCCCTGGGTTAATCCCCAGAAGAGTTCTTTCATCCCACCCATCTCTAAGCTCTAAGACCACTACTCCTAATCCCATTGCTCTCTAACCGAAAGAGTCACCTATGCCTTTGAACATGGTATGGACAGCTGGGGAGCAGAATCCCCTGCTGGAGGAAGATGTGATTAAGGCTCAACTCACTGAGATCAAGCATGGGGCCTTCCCACTCCTGTCTCAGAGCTGCCTCAAAAAACCCCAAAACAAAACAAAACACCCTCACATGCACACAGATTGGCTACACCTGTACCCACATGTGCACACTGCTTTCCAGGTGGGCAGCACTCCAGCCAGCTTGGTCCATTCAAAAAGCCAATAGGGAGGCACTGGTTCTACCATGTTGGTTGAATTCTTACTCTCTAATATTGTAGCAATAGAAATTCTGAGGTGTGGTTTTTACCTTTGTGTTGTCTCTTCACTGTAGGATCCCAACAGTAAATACTGTGTCCTAAAGAGTTTCTTCTTCATAATCAAAGGCCTTAACCCTACCACCTGCAAATATTCCATTCTGAACTTTTGTTCCTGTTTTACAAATGTTTGTAACTAAGGCCTACAGAGATACAATGCTTTTTCGAATTTATATTAAGTCAACATATAGTCAAGTCTAGTCAAGTCTATAGTTGTGAGCTACTAATTCTATCTTGGACTGAAGTCAGTTGTTAGAATTTTCTGGATCATACCAGAAATTACTCCTGTTCTCCCTTTAAAATCCATTCCCCTTCATCCACCTTTCCTTCCTTTCTGCCTTCCTTCCTGCCTTTCTATTTTCCTTCCTTCCCTCTCTCTTTCCTTCCTTCTTTCCACAAATACATATATAGAACATTTTCTAGGTTTGAAGAGTGCTCACCTCTTGAAGCAGAACCCAGTTGGGGATTCTTCTTATCCTGAGAAAGTCCTTGGTTCTGACAGGACCTCCCACCACTACCATCTCTGATACTGGTCTTGGGACATACGTGTTCTTCCTTCTGCTCTCTTCTTCAACCAAATACCTCTTTCCTCACCAAAAGTCTTTTTTTATTCCTTTTCTTTTTTCTACCAATCCACTTTCTTATCAGAATACCCACATTCACAAATGCCCTCTTTAAATCTGGTGATGCACAGAACAATGACATTGGGAATTAAAATAGTGGAAACCCTAAGTCCCCTTTAGGGGACTAAACTTTTTGTGTGTAAAGAATCCTAGTAGGTTAAAATTTAAAACAAATCTCTCTTATCTTTTCTTAAAAATGTTATTTTCTTGGGGCACCTGGGTGGCTCAGTCGGTTAAGCATCCAACTTCGGCCCAGGTCATGATCTTGCAGTTCGTGGGTTCAAGCCCCACACCGGGCTCTGTGTTGACAGCTCAGAGCCTGGAGCCTGCTTCAAGTTCTGCGTCTCCCTCTCTCTCTGCCCCTATCCCGCTCATGCTCTGTCTCTGTCTCTCTCAAAAATAAATAAACATTAAAGAAAAATTTTTTAATGTTATTTTCTTTGGATACGACCTTGGAAATAAGATCATGGGTGAAAGTTATAAATTTGAGTAGAAATTCTGTGCTCTTGAGGTCATGAGAGTACTCTATTAACCAACAGGAATAAGTAAAGCTACATAGTGTTGACCATGTACTGTTGTGTTTTACACATATAGTTATTTTAATTGGCACAACTCTACAAAGTAGGCGCTATTATGGTTGCCATTATCCCCACTTTATAGATGAGAAAACACAAACTTGCAGGTCAAGTGACCCATCTGAGTTCACACTACTGGTAAGTAATGGAGCTAGATCTGGAGTCCAGGAGCCTGGCATCAGAGCTGTGTTCTTGCCAGATGTGTGGCCCCCACAACACTGGCCTGACCTCCAATGTATGTCCTGACCTACTACATTATACACTGACTCAACAAAGACAGGGATTGGCGGTAGGGGTGGGGGTGGCAAGTGATTTCATAAACGATGTACCTGTATTAGTTCACTTAATCCTTGCAACGGCCCTGTGAGACTGCTGCTATTATGACCCCATTCGCAGCTGAGGAATAGACAGGTTAAGTAACTTGCCCAGTGGGGAGCTTGGGTTTTAAGCCAGGCAATCTGGCCCTGGAGTCCATGTACTTAGCCATTACTCTGCTGCTTTTCTCTCCAGGACAGGAAGAAAACAGTAACCCAGTTTGCACTGACACGTGTCCTTCTTACCTCTGCCATTGCCTCCACTACCTTCTGCTTATCCACTTGTAAGATACCATTCTTTGCTGTGCGAGACACATGCAGCTCATGCCAGTGGCCCAGGGCGAGGGGGTCTTCACTCCTGTTGAAGGAAGGAAGCTGAGCGTGGGATAGCATCAGTGGTGGTATGGACAGTGTTCATCAAGCTGCCCTGATGAACCGATGCAACCTTAGCTACCTCATTTATTCCGTCACAAGAAAACAATCACTCTTGCTTAGTAAACACAGCGGCGCTCGGTCCGTTTATTGGACCCCTTTATGGTAGGAGCATTGCAATTATCACTTTATTTTATTACTTCCAACAAGCCTGGAATGTGGGTAAGATGAGCCTGGTGTCCTGGAGGACAGGTGACAGTGAAATGTGATCATAGTTGCACACAAGCTTTGAAAATGAGAAAATTACCTGGACTGTAGTGTAAACCACAGATTCTTTCGTGTGCTGATGGCTACGGCATCCTTTGAAATGCATAAAAAATTAGGATGGATGGATGGATGGATATAAGGATAGCTAGACATGTGATAAAGCAAATATAGCAAAATGTTAATTATAGATGACAGGTGGGAGGAATAAAGATGTTTACTGTATAATTCTTTCAACTTTTCCACATGTTTAGAATTTCTCATAATAAAACGCTGGCGGGGGGAAAGAGTCCATGTTGTCTGATACTGTGAAAAGGATTAAAACTAAAAATTCAATTAATTCAACGTGAAAGTGCTTGAAGTTTAAACGATTTCAATAAGAGTTTTGCACGCTACTTTGGACAGTGAGGTATGCAAGAAGAGGATAATTATTGCATTTGTGTTTCTAATGATGTCTAGTTCCTGGCCTTCACTGAACCTCCCAATTATTTTTTGGTCCTGGATCATCCTTAGAAAACTGTCAGGAATACCAACGGGCACAATTATTGAAAGGTCTCCACCCCCTCACTTGATTTTTTTGCTCTGGCAAATGCTTTTGTGATTTGTCCTTAGCAATTAGAATTTAATCACCTTGGCTAAATCAATATGCAATAAAGAAACCAGAGGCACTCTTTAAGCAGCCCCATCTCCACAATAAGTACAACCGCCTTAGTCGTGTTCTTGTCCTGCAGAGGTCATTCCCTGTCAATACCCTGCCTTCCTCTGCACAGTTATATCGATCACAGCCGTCACGAGCTCATTTCAATTGCCTCGATTTTTGAATCGAGCTCATAATGAATTTGACCACCTCATCCTTTTCCTAAAGTTAAAATGATTTGGCCAATTCCACAACTTCCTGTGGTTCAGGATTTTACTGAATTTTCTTAATCAAGCAGGAAGTCTTAGAAATGATCTTCAGAATAAACATCTTGCAACGGGGCACCTGAAACGCCCGCCCACAGTAATCCCTGTTGTCAGGTTACCCTGGGGAGGGGATGGGACAGGGGTGGTCTTTCCCTTGGACATTCTGGGCACTTGCCTTCTTTTCGTTACACCTGATACTCTGAATTCTTTTTCCAGGCACTTTTCTGACAGGCAGGGAAACGATATCTTACATTAAAAAAAAAATTAAATAACACTTCTTGTCTCAAATAGGCACAGAATGATGAAAGAGAGAAATGCTGGACACTAAGGTCCTATGTGTCTGTGACCCCAGAGCTGGAGCTGCCACCATGGAGGGGAGCCGTTGGGGGGGGGGGGGGGGGGGGGGGGGGGGGGTGTGATCTGCCCAAGAGGAGGGCTGATGAGCCCGACCCTCCCCCTCACTCTTTCTGGTCATTCCTTATCCAGGAGGAAGCCATTTGAAAGTACAAGGTGATATTTAAGGTATCTTCCCTTCTGAACTTGACAAACAGTTCTACGTGAATTGCTTAGACTGTTTTGCATAATCTTATGTAAATTGAATCAATTAAACACCCACCAAAGTTGTCTTGAGACATAGGATGTTTTTGTATAACCAGAGGCACAAAAATGTTTGCCCATGACCCAAGGTGGGAGGTGTCAGTGACGTGCAGGAATTCAGTCATAGGACAAAAATGAACTGTCCTTTTTAAGAATTCTTGAAACCTAATGCAGCAAGCATTTCCCATCGGCCGTGAGAAATGATCAGCAATTAAGGGCGATGTATGGCTGTAACATCTCTCCCGCAGTCTTCCTAAAAATGACAGTCTAACAGCATAAATTACAATTGAATGCAGCCTGCAATTTCCTTTAAAACAACCACCACCTTTGGATTTCCTGCTGCGGGGCACCATTGAAGGAAACATCGTAGTGAGTTTCAAAAGAGAATTCGTCGAATATAGGAACAAGAAGCATGTCTGCATTAGATTAGCAGGCCTCTGGCTGGAGGGTAAAAACTACCGTGGAAGGAACACAGTGTGAAGAGGGAGACATAAACAAATAAGAGAAACGTCTGTATCCACCATCATCAGGCTCTGAGGGTGTTGTAAAACTCGTGACGCGCTGTACGGGAACAATTGATCTTCTAAGTAAATTAATAGTACAAGCTAGATAACAGGAGGAAAGGTTTGAGGACCCAGAGCCACTTCTGCAGATACCAGCAAGTACTTCAGAAGCACCTGTTCACTGCCACGCTATTGAAACCACTCATCACACCGCCTTCTCAAACATATCGGTCAGGGATGTGCCTCTGTGATTTGCAGATTCGCTGTCAGACTCCTTTATCTGGAGAATGGTCAGAGATGTGCTAACCATCTAGTCACCATCAAAGAAACAATGCGAGAGGGTGGTAAAAAAATCAAAGTCAGGTCACCAAGGGCATGTCTGTCCATTCAACTTCTGTTAATACTTCTTTCCTGGTCACCCTCTATTGACGGAGTGCCCACAAAATGATGCTAGGAGCACGGACTGATCAACTACAATTCATCAGGTTTTTGTGATGGCCTTGTGCAAAATGAAGGCAGCCTATCCATGGGTTGAAGCAGAGAGTTGCTACCTGCCGGGGAGTTACTTGACAAAAGGAAAACTTGCCAGTAGGAGAGAATGATCCATAATGAAGTATGTCATACCACCAGGACACATTTCGGAAAAGAGAACCACGGAGGGACGACAGGAATAGTGCAAGCTATCAGGACTGGGGCATCTTTTTCCAAAGTGACCGCTGTTGAGCTTTCTGGGCGGAAAGGAGCCCCTAAAGGTCTCAGCCCTTACCTGAGAACACCAGTGCCAGAGCCACAGTCAAAGCGGAACTCCACGTGGCCCCCTGCCATGTTGATGGACACAAAGTCTTTGCTGCCCGTGTCGTAGCTGTAGAGGAGGACACCATCACCCGAGTCCGGCCGAAACGTGATCTCAAACTCCATGAAGGAAAGGTAATGCTGGGGCTCCAGAGGCCAGGGTGTTGCAGCATAGGATCTCAAGGACTCTCTGAATTGAGGGATGGTCAGGGTGAAAGCTGAAGAAAGAAGCGTGCTGTTAGAAATCCCTCTGTGGCAGAACTAGCCATGTTCTCTTCCTCCTGGGTATGGAGCTAACCTACATTTCCCAGCTGCCCTGAGTGAATTGGGTAGTATAACCGAATTCCGGTCAGTGGACTGTGGGTGGGAGTATTATACGCATCCCAGGTCTGACCCCTAAAACTTCCTACCATCTTCCATGCACCCTCTCGTCCCTCACCTGCTAGCTGAATGCAGGAAGCAGGGGAGGATTCTAAGGGCCTGGCAGAGCCCTAGAAGGCAGGGGCCTGTGTCCCTGAATGACTGCATGGCACAGAGGCCACCCCCACCCAAACTCCTCACTGACCTGCAGTGATGTGTGACGTGAGCAAGGATCGAGCCTTATTATGTCAGGCTACAAAATATGAGATGATATGTAACAGCTTTGACTTACAGGAACTCACACGCCCTCTTCTAGGTGATCTGAGATCTGAGATTATTCAGTGCTAAAGAAAAATCCCCCCCAGGATGGTGTCTTAGGTCCAAATTTGAATCAATGGTAGAAAAGTTAAAACATGTTCAACTCAGGCCATCTGGGGGGCGCTCATTGGTTAAGCATCCGGCTCTTCATTTCGGTTCAGGTCAAGATCTCACTGTGGTGAGATCAAGCCCCACATCAGGCTCAGTGCTGGGCATGGAGCCTGCTTGGGATTCTCTCTCCCTCCATTCCTCCCACACTTGCACGCACTCTCTCTCTCTTCTCTCAAAAAAAAGTGTCCAACTCCACACGTTTGCCAAAATCTTTGAAATTTTTGAAATTTCCCCTGATTCTGTGTGTTTGCGTATGCACCTGTGTTTACGCGTATATATACCCACGTATTGAGACAGGTATAGTATCGAGAGGTGGACAATTCACTAGAACAGTAACAAAAAGAAGAAAGATTACTCTTGTGCCTTCCCATTGTTAACGACTCTGTGTGTCTCTTCCCCACATTTTCTCTGAACTTGTCAGTCATTCTCAGAAGCATGAGCTGCAGATGCTCTCAATTCAGTCTGATACAGACCACACGCATAAAGCCTTTTCAAAGTTACTTGAGGGCCAAAAGGAGCCCACCAAAGCCTGGCCCAGAAGCATCTTAAAATGAACCTATCTATGGTTGGCTTGACACTCTGACACTCAAAGGCACTCCAATCTGATAAAAAAACAAAACAGATTCTCCCATCTCTCCCAACAATGTATAGATTTTAATCCCATAAACATTTATGGGACTTGCTAAGAGCACACTGATGAAAAATTACATCGACATGAATTAACAGGGCAGGCAAAGTGCAGCCAACTTGCTTCTTTCTCACCATCTTCACAGTGTCGACCTTTAAACCCAAGGGGACACAGGCAAATGTAGGCGTCGGCTTTGACTGCTGCACAGGTGCCGCCGTTGATGCACGAGGCTTCGTCACAGAGTCCACTGCTGCACTCCCCTAAATACAGAACAGGAATGACAAAACCGATTCATCGCGTGAGCCAGTCCAAGACGCTGGAGCTGACCGCACCAGCTCTGAATACACACACTCAGCTCCCACTCGTGTTAATTTGTACCCCTGCCCAGCTGCAAAACAGCCTTCAGGGTAGGTGGAACGTACCCTTCATTTTAGTTTGATTTTGGCCTGTTCTTTATGAAGACCCACAAAGAATCTTTAAAACATGGCGGACACAATACATCAAATAGTAAATTGTTTGGACAATTTTACGACCACCGACGAAGATGAATGAGTTGTTTCTGCGTTAATCCATCTGTCTCTTATTCCAACAAGAGCGTGTTTCAATCCCTTCCGTGTCAACATGGTGTTTCTGTTCCAAGCATTCTAATTTGTGTGGCCCCAGTTACCTTAAGTGCTACTGCCTTGTTGGTTCAAAGTTGAGGCAATAAGGGGAACACGGAAGCCACATCTAACTTATTACCTGGCCTCAACCTTCCACTGCTCTGTCTGGGGCAGGAAGGGGCTGGGGCGGGGGGTGCTTCATAATACCTCAGCATATGCCTTCCAGCATCCCTACTCCCACCTCCAAAACTGAGATCTTATGGGGGACAGGAGGGTGGCCTGGAGTAAAAAGCGGTGAGAGCTTCAACACCAGATGGGTCCATACTCTTTACCAAACACATATCAGAGAGGCCCATACAGGGTATACTCTCACTGTCAAGATCATCAGATGACATGGAAACACATGGACTTCTCCTGCTCTGCTTTTCTCCTGCTTCTTTGGTCCTCCTCTTCTCCTTGTATATAAGAAATAAATTTCACAGATGGGCCACTAGCTGGCCCAGAACAACACAAGTGAGTACTAAACACTTGCTCCCGGGGTAGGGACAAAGGAGCACATCTCTGACTAAGCCGTGAGGGGCCCGGCCCTGAGCCCCGCAGGCTGTGATGCTGCACCTGCCTGAACTGCAAGCCCACTTCTGGTGGGATGAAAAGCCTCCGTTGGCCATCTCAGCAGGGCAAGCCCCCCATCCTTTTCTCATCCGTCCTCTGTATTTGTGGAGCTGACCCCGTCTTTTCTTCCACGAAGCCTCGCTGCGAGCGTGAGCAGGGCTGGGTATAGTGTGCAGCCAGCCGAAGAGGCTGACTTCAGGAGCCGAGGACAGAGTTTAATTAAGGCCCGTCCAGATGGCTCGTCGCCACAGCTGGGGTGGGCTGGCCTCAGCGAATTCCAGCCGGGGCCACTGGAAGCTCAGGGCAGAAGTGACCGGTGGCCTCTGCAGCCACCGCCTGAGAACATGGCCAGCATCCAGTCTCCTCAGGGTGATGGACATGGAACCATGAGAGCCGGACTCTCACAGCCCCTGAGCCCCCCCGGGTCTGGGTGGGCTGGGATTCTTTCCCCGAGAAGGGCGGCTCCCACAGGAAGAAACGAGGTTCTTGGGTTATTTTAGCTACACATGGAAAAGATATTACTTTACAAATTTGCATTGTGACTATCCTTTAAGAGGGGGGAGTGGGGTGGGGGCATTGATGAAAGCAACATGGCGGCAGGATTCTGCTGGCAATGGTACGCAAGATGGCCCATGAGCGGCGGCGTGGGAAAGAGGAACGGACTCCAACGGGGAGGGAACGTGGGGCTGGCCGGGGTGGTAGCAGAGGAAATGGACAGGGAGCGAAGACACGGGGAAGGGAGACCCAGCCAGTCCCTTCTAGAGCTTGAAGGCGGAGGCAGACCCTAGCAAGGCCTCCGGGTTCCTCGCCTGGCGGGAGTACAATGATGAGCACGGCTGAGGGCAGGAGCTGGTTTCTGAGGCACAGAGGACCTGGCGTTGGGAAGCAGACTCCGCTTCCCATTCTCTCCCTCCCTCTCTCTCTGCCCCTTCCCCGCTCGTGCTCACGCTCTTTCTCACTCTCTCAAAAGAAATAAACATTAAACAAACAGATTGCATAGCTTTATTTCAATGTAATTGTTTCCTACCATGGATGTTATTCTCTACATTTAAAAACATCATTTGTTTCAAAACATCCGGCTGGCGGGGTCAGTGGAACATGTGACTCTTCATCTCGGGGATCGTAAATTTGAGCCCCATGTTGGAGGGGGAAATTACTTAAAACTGAAACCTTTAGGAAAAAAAAAAAAAAAAAAAAGAAAGAGACACACCATTTTGGGAAGAGTCCACAGGCTTTACCAGACTGCCAGAGATGTTCACAGCACACAAACGGTTAAGAACCTTTGGGTTACTAAACTGATGATCCTGGCAGCAAAGTCCAGGGATGTAGGGAAGGATGGGTGCAGAGTTTTAGAAAGAAGGAAAACTGTCAACTCTGAGAGTGGGAGGAAGGAAGTTAGTCGCAAGGTCATGTGCAGACAGCGCTGGCAGGACCTCATCATCAGTATATAATTTTTATTGACATTGAACCTACTAGATGCCAGCTTTACGCAAGACAATGAGGTGAGGGCAGGAGAGAAATTAGGCCTCCGAGGAGAGAACGGCAGGTGGGACGGGGCAGACTGCATGAAGGACGCATGGACGGTGAGCAACCACCTGCCCCTTGTCCACCAATCCGTAACTGAAGCCAGTCTATTTCCCCGACTGAAGATCTGTCCACTCGGTCCACATCTCCACCACCACTACCAGCCTAGAGCAAACCGTCATTATCTCTGATCTGGATTGTCGTCATAGCCTCCAGCCAGTTTACATGTGCCCCCTGAACACCGCTTTCAATAAGCTTTCCACAGCCAGAAGGATCGTTTCAAAACACAGACTAGATCATGGTAAACCACCTCCCCCTCATACTCCCACTGGGACAAGCCATTTCCTCTGCCTGGAATGATCTTCCCTCTCTTATCTGCTTAAAAAGAAATGCTTCAGATATCAGCTTTGGGTTATATGCTCAGAATGGTTATATGCTCAGAATGCTCCAGCCCATAAAATCCCGTTATTATACACTATTATTATACCACCATTTCTTCTTTGTAACACGCTGAATTGTAATTTTTCATTGACTTGTGTGACTATTTGATCAGTTTGGTCTTTCCTTGTGGCAGCTACATGAGGGCTGAGGTAGGATCCTGTTTTCTTGTTCATTACTGTCTCCCCAGGACCTGGCATCATGACTAGCATTAAGCAGATCCTTAAAAAAGTATCTTGAGAGAAAGCATGAGTGAAACAGTGATAAACCATGGTGAGACCCATGGCCACCTCACACGTCTTGAGTCTCAAATAACTTGAGAAGTTGGTTTCCCAACTTGTCACATTGACCCAGTGGGGTGTGGAAATCCAAGACAGGATTGGAAAAACTGAGTTCCGGTGGTTTAGGTTTAAGAATTTGCGTGGAAATAATAAAAGAAAGTCTGGGCTAGCGAATGCGAAATTTTGCTGAGATGACTGACTATTCTAGAATGTGGGTTTAGAGAGAGTCTAATTGCTGGGAATAATCTAAAGAAGGTGATGAAGGGGAAAGGCTTCAGTAATGAAAGGCCCCTTTGAGGAGTTGAGGTAGGCTTTAATGGAGGTGGGGAGGGGGACAGAGAAAAAGCTGTGGTTGAAGATAGCAGTGACAAGTTAGAGATACCAGACAAAGGAACCGTGACTCTGCTACTGTCATTACCTTCTTCTGGAAGCCTGTATCTCCACCAGAAATTCACTGCTGTTTGTATGAGCCCAGTATTCCCTCATGGTGGCACTGCATTTAAAAGAACTTGAATTTCTGGAGGGCTAACTCAAAGTAAAGCAAGTATGGAGGCTGAATAACCAGCTCTGTTCTAGCACTCCAGGGGGAAAATGGGGAAAAAATGAAAAAAGGCAATGAGACTGATGCCTGCCATTAAAGTTCATCACAAGGCTCGTAGACATCAAATAATCCAATAGCAGCTTCGGGGGGGGGACCCAGAGCCAGCAAGGTGGGCCCATTTGGTACCACCTGCTCAATGGAGAGGCTGGTTTTGCACAATGTGAGAATATAAAACACTGCCAGAAATCGGTCCTTGCTCAACTTTGCAAGGTCTCAGCTACCTGTCAGGGGTCACCCTGCAACCTCAGGACTGCAGATCTGGATTTCATGACTGTTTCCCGTTTGTCCAAGGAAGAGAGAAAAAACAACTGATACCCTGCTGAATGGGTGGAGCCAGAATATTAATAATAATATTAATAACAAATACTTACAACATGCTTGCTATATGCAAAGCACCAACTCATCTAGACAAAGGGATTTTAGGAGGAAGTTACTAAAAAAATTCATAGATTGAAGACCGAATTCCCAATGTGACTGCATTTGGAAATAGGGCCTTTGAGAAGCTAATTAAGGTTAAGTGAGGTCTTAAGGGGGGGACCTAATTCAATCTGACCAGTGTCCTTATAAGAAGAGGGAGAGACACTAGGGATACAGACACAGACACAAGGCCCGATGAGGACACAGTGGCCATCTGCAAGCCAAGGAGAGAGGCCTCAGGAGAAGCTAAACCTTCCAGTGCCTTCAGCTTGCATTTCCAGCTTCCAGACTGTGAAAAAATAATGTTACTAAAACCACCCATTCTGTGGTATTGTGTTATGGCACCCCTTCCAGGCTAAAATGGTCACTGAATTAACCAACCTTAGAATTATCTATCTGCTTTCAGTGACGGAAATAAATGTCCTTACTGCTTTAAAGGCAATCCTAGTCTTTTCAGAAAAATGGTTCTGACAACTAGACAACCTCATGCAAAAAACTGAATCTAGACACAGACCTTACACCTTTCACAAAAATTAACTCAAAGAGATCACAGCCCTCAATGTAAAATGCAAAACTATGAAACTTCTACAAGATAATGGGGACAAAAATCTAGATGACCTTGGGTAAGGCGATGGCTTTTTAGAGACAACACCAAAGGCATGACCCTTGAAAGAAATAACTAATAAGCTGGATTTCATTAAAGTTAGAGAAGACAAGCCATGTCTAGGAGAAAATATTTGCAAAAGACACATCTGATAAAGGACTGTTGCCCTATATATATATATATATATATATATATATATATATATATCTGAAAGCTCAACTGCAAGAAAATAAACAACTTGATTAAAAAAATGGGCTAAATAAAACCTTAACAAAACCTCACCAAAGAAGCCATACAGATGGCAAATAAGTGTATGAAAAGATGCTCCACATCATATGTCACCAAAGAAATGCAACTTACAACAATGAGATACCACTACACATCTGTTAGCATCTGAACTCTGACAACACCAAATGCTAACAAAGATGTAGAGCAACGGGAACTCTCAAACATTCCAGGTGGGAGTGCAAAATGGAACAGCTACTCTGGAAGACAATTTGGCAGTTTCTCACAAAATGAAACATGCTCTTACTATGTGATCCAACCATCACACTTCTTGTTGGTATTTACCCAAAGAAGTTAAAAACTGATGTCCATCCAAAAAACCTGCACACTGTTTACAGCAGCTTTATTCACAATTGCCAAAAACTTGGAGGTAACCAAGATGCCCTTCAGTAGGCATGACAAACATGCCTTGCAGTACATACAGACAATGGAATATCATCCGGCATTAAAAAGAAACGAGCCCTCAAGCCATGAAAAGGCATGAATAAAACTAAAATGCATTATTACTAACTGAAAGAAGCCAATCTGAGAAAGCTACATATGATTCCAACTATATGACATTCTGGAAAAGGCAAAATCATACAGAATATAAAAAGGTCAGTAGTTGCCAGAGGTGGGGGGTGGGGTGAGCCATAATATGAACTACGGCTCACCATGAGTGAGCCATAATATGAACTATGGGCTTTGGGTGATACTGAAGTGGTAATTCAAGTTCATCATCTGTAACAAAGGTACAAAGGCGTGTTGCTAATAGAGGAGGCTATGCATGTGTGGGGGTGGGGGATAGGTGGGAAATCTGTGTACCTTCTCCTCAGTTTTTTTGTGAAGCTTAAACCGCTGAAAAATAAAAATCAGTCCTAGCTCTGCCTGCTATTTTGGAGAAGTTATTTGACTTTTACAAGCCCTAGTTTCTTCATGTATAAAATAGGTATCATAACAATTTCTACTTCCTAGAGCTGGTGTGAAGAGTTAATGAGAGGGCATATGAGAAAGTTGGACACAGTGGTCAAGAATTAGAACGTGACCATTTCTTTTGGAAGCAGAGAGCATACGAAACCTCTTCTTACATTACTGTGTTGGCTTTTCCACTGAACTGGGTGAGTAAGGGAGGGTGAAAGCGCTGAACTGCTTGCTGCTTTGTTGGATGAGACCATGCCATGCTTCGTGAAGAGAGCCAAGGGCAACAGGACACAACCAAGGGTTTGGTGCGCCATATTGTTTATCCTATCTTGCTATTCAGATCCAGGTCATCATGTCTGCAAAGCACCAAGCTTGTCCCCTGGGCCACCTCCCTCCTAAAGTTTGACATTAGCCAGCTGCCTAGGGTTTCAATCCATGAAGCTTCTTACTGCCCTGGCCCACACCAGAAAGGCAATCCCACAAGAGCACCCTGGCCCACTGGGCAACCACTTACCCACGTCGGCCCCACTGAGTGCTTTCCCCAGTGGCCAGGGCCTCAAGTCGATTCGCTTCCCATTGACGGTGAGCGACTGCACACAGCCTTGAAAGCCTCTGTTTGTTCCTGTTGCTCTAACCAACCAGTAAGCACTGGGAGCCCCACCAAGATAGAGGGGCGTCCGGAAGGTAATTTTACTGTACTGGCCCTGTAAGAAAGAAGAAAACCGTAACTCACTAAACAAAATCAAAAGCCAAAACACAACAGATTTTAATGAGGGACATGGTTAAGATGTAGTTTACAGCCCCACTGCTTTCTTCCATCTGTGTTTATGTTTATGACATTGCCTTACTGGAAAATTAAACCCCTGGTTACCGTAGGAAACTCAGTGAGCTCCTCAGAGGGCTGTGTTTCGAGAAGGGATGATTTTGGAAGCCTAGAAGGGAAGGGAAGGTAGGTCAGAGCCAAGAGCAACCCAACGGGCAGGGTACTGGGCCGGGCATCCAACAAAAACTTTGTCTTTCCAGTCTTGACACCAACTTACTGTGTACCTTGGATGGTTCACAGGGTTATTCTGCGTCTCAAAAGATGATAATGCTAATTTTGTGTATATGTGGGCCAACGCTTACCTTTCCTATTCCCAGCCACCTTTATACTATATCCTGCAAGAAACATCGTGTGTGCGGGGGAGGATTGCCACACAGATTGTGTTGCAAAATATTTTGAAATTTGCTCATGGATACAACTTGTGTGTGTGTGTGTGTGTGTGTGTGTGTGTGTTACTACGGTGAGGTAGGGACATTTCTAATCTTAGAGAAAACCACAAACAGGTTTTGAGGTTACAAAACACAGACCTGAACATTAGGTGGGACAAAATTAAGGCACCCTTGGTCATTTTTTTTTTTTTATTACAGAAATATTTCATTCATTTGGATTAAAGGGGACTGGGAAAAAGCATGTTGCCAGAATTTTTAAAGTCCAGAACGTAAGCCACTGAAATGTGGCAAACGAAATGTTGCCAACAAATAGAACATCTAATCGTTACTTTATATTTTCTAATGAATGGATAAGAATCATTTATAAATAGTGTGCTGAATATGAGCGAGGCAGCTGTAAAGTGCTTACAGTGAATTGTAAGGACTGTTTGCCAGCCTCTGGGCACACTGCTTTTGTGGGATGAACTGGATGCCCTGTTGGCTTATTTCGTTAAGATCCTCAGAATTCACTCCTGAAACCCATCTTCAGTCTGTTCCCTGATTCAGGACTGTACCAGGAGCCTGACCACTTAGCGCTTTTTTCCTTTTCTGGAACAGCAACCCTGAGCCCCCCTTACAACGTCCCAGGCAATAGTCTGGTAAAAGCTGGCTTTTACCTTCCTCTGGTGAGGGTTGCTTTGGGTTTCTGGAGCCTGCTTTGCCTACGAGGCAGAGAATTCGAAGTGCCCTGGAGTTCTCATTTCCCCCGACACAGCACTTAACAGTGTTTGATGGGTGCCAAAGTGTGAAAGTCCAATTGACCAGCTTTGGGTTGGGACCGCTCTGAGGTATAACTTATACTACAGAGCTCCCCTAGGGTCAGGCTGAAGCCAGACAGGCACTGAAGAACTTTGCAAACCTTGATATAAGACAGAGTCACTATCTCCCAAGATAGTTTACTAAACATTCCACAGCTGCTGTCCTGCTTATACAGCTTGCTAGCAAGTCCCGGGAGGAGAGCGGCAAACGCTGCCCTGAGTAGCCATAAAATTGTATGCTTCTTGCAATTAATTCTTATATTCATTCAAAGGATAAGATTGGCAAAAATACAAACACTCATATAAGCCAAGCTCACATTGACTTCCGGAGCCCTTGTATTATCCCTACCAAAAGGTTTCGGTAACTTATTTTTTCAACACCCCCAAGGACAGGACAGGAAACCGTCTCCTGAGATAGTCCTTTGCACTTCTGTGCACTTTTGTATGATTAAGTGGAGTTAAAATTACTCCCTTAGGCTCTCCCATTCAACATCAGCCTGGGGGGGGGGGCACAGAGTAAGTCCTTCTCTCCCCAAATTCCCTCTCTGATTCTATGAAAAGGCACCATCCACACCTTCACCTTCTTTTCTCCAAACTAAACAATGCTCCTTCAATGAATCACTCCAGGGATTTCAGGTCAGTTTCCTGTTTCAATGATTGCCTTCATGTTCCAATATGTCTGTGGTCCTCTTAGAGGACCTCTTCGAGTACAATCACAGAGCTGAATGCAATCCTCTTAGAGGATTAGAGTTACCATTAGAGCACTGGAAGCTATATACAGGGCTACTAGGATATCATACGATCATCACCTCGCTTTTTCTAGATGCTATGCCTCTATTAATACAACTTGTAATTTCTTCAGCTTGCTGTTACCACATGGCTCTGCTTATTAACCTTTACTGAACTTCCTTGCTTCAAAACATAAGACATTTTCACATGTGTTGTTGCTTTTATTACAGCTTCTCTGCCCTATATTCACTATTACTATTTTGGATCCAAGTTCAAAGCTTCTTTATTCCTATCAAACTTAATTTTAATCATATTTAGGGCTATTGTTCTGGGATTTATGTGATTCTGTAGTTCATTTATCCTGTCTTTTTTCCTTAGAAGTACATGCATATATGCATAAGCGATCTCACTGGATTCATATTCTCTATATTTGGATTCTTGTTCCTTTGGAAGCTTTGGGGTCCAAATTAATGGGAATCAGCAAAGCATGGCTCTTTATAGGATATATCTTGCCAGTAAAAAAGTCCAGGCAGGGAGGAAGCTATATACATATACACAAAGGTTTTCTTGCTACATTTTTCCTGAGAGAACAGACACCTGCCTGATTATAATTACACACTCCGTTCCTTGGCAGGTTGCTAATCCAAACTGTTTATTCTAAACATGGTTCTGAAATTGCCCAGAGCATGACGAATATGTGAATACCTAGGTGATTTACTGAGTAGCCCCACAGTTAAATTGTTTTACCGCTTCCTATAACCATGGCCCCCCAAAATGGTAGATGAAAGGATCATTCCTGCATATTGAACCAAGTGAAACTTTCCGAACTCTTTGTTAAAGCCACAGAATTGCAACACCCTTGCCTTAAAAGCAAGCTTTGTGTTTGGCACTAATAATGGCTTCTATTCTTCTGATACAGGCCTTCTTCTACCCCTGGCTTTGATGTCCTTGTGGAAAAAGAACATGTCCCTGGGCACAAAGCCAACTGCATGCTTCTGCGCCCCCACAGTAATGACGCTTGCAAATCCGATTCTGCTCCTCAGTAGATGTGGGATGGATGTGTGCCCTGAAAGCCCACCGAGAGTGGTAAGAGCCACTGAGATGCAGGAGCATCTCAGAGCTGGGGTGCACGGGTTTGCCACGAAAACCAGGCCATCCGGAGCTTGCATCCCGCCAGCGTGGCCTGAGCTCGGCAGCAGGGCCCTCTTGGGACGCGCATGGTGGGTGCTGGGTGGGTGGGCAGGTTGGGAGGCTCACACTCACCTGGGACTGGCCAGTCGCCGGGGTGCCATTGTTCAGCTGCAACAGCCCGTTCAGCCCATCTCTGTAGAGTGTAACCGTGTGCCAGCCCCCCAGTTTGATTTTGGTTTCACTTATAATGATGCCAACCCCAGTTCCACAATTAAACCTGTGGGGAAGAAAAAAAAAAGAAAGAAAGGCTCTTTGATCAACCAGCTCGTTATGCTTTCAGGCCCCACGGATACCGCTTCTGGGGCAATGGCTTCTCTGAGAGTCAATCTGTTTAGTTACGTTTATGAATATCAAGGACTGTTTAAATCTCTACAGGAAAGAGCTAAACACCTGCTTTCTGGGCCGGCCTCAATCTACTTATCTTAATCTGCCCGCAGACCTTTCAAATGTGGGGCCTCCTTCAACCTGATTTTCTCTGCAGCTTTGAAAACGATGGGCAACTAAGATCCTCCCCCTCCTTCTCAGTGACTGCCAGATGCTTCAAGTGGATCCCAAGAGCAGAGAATTAGAACTTGAGTCATTTTGCTTCCAGGTATTTCTCTGGGGACTTCCCCCAACTCCCAAATGACAGGCTCCAGCGATATTATTTAAATGTCAAAAAACACTCATTTTGGCCAGCTGGCTAGCACTGCCATCTGTGTTCAGCTGTGCCCAAATGCAGGTGCAGTTTCCATAGGGGGGAGGCGTGGGCAGAGGGGGAACATTCTCAGATGATTGCTTTATTCTTGTTTTTGCTTTGTTTTTTCTCCCAACTTCCCTATGGCCCAGGGTACCCACCAGTCACTATGCCTTACACCCATGATTTTGACCCTTTCCAGTCAACTTCCAGGCAGCCACCATGCCACTCCCCCACAGATCCTGAGATGGCCAGTAGGGAAGGACACATGACCAGCATTGTCCTTCTCAGGACGTGCACTAATTACAGTCCCTTCTCATGGCTTCCCTTTGTCTCCACGATCCTCAGTGGACTGAAATGGGGTCGAGAGGCATTGCAGAGCAGGCTCATCTAGAGGGGGATACCAGAGTCCACAGCAGCTGCCCAGTTGGAGAGCGGCCAGCAGCCAATCACAGCCAATGCCACTGGAAGTCTATCAGATCCTTCAAGGGTGAGAACCACTGCCCCAGGTCCTGGCCCTAAAATCAAACTCCCATGAATCAAAGCATTTAGCAGAGGATAGGGGACCACTGTCTACCCCAAGTGGGATGTTTCAGTCTTCTTCAGCTTAACCCAAATAATTTTTGTGCTGAAATAATCAAAAGACAATGACAGTTAATGCTTATTGAGTGCTTGCTATGGGCCATGCACTGCTCTAAGCACTTGTATGTATTAATTCACCTAATCCTCACAAGAGCCCTGGGAGAAAATGCAGGCTCAAAGACGTACAGTCAACTTGCTCAGAGTCAGGGAGCAGAGGAGCAGTGCCATCAGGATCTTAACCAGTACACTATGGAGAAGGACAAGGCTGATCCTCATCGGTCATTCTCAGATAGGTGCTTGTGTACCCTTGAGGGTGGCCAAAACACTCACACCTTCACAAAACTCTGCCCCCAGAAAACCACACACAAACCAAAGATGGCTTCCAAGATATATTGGGAGAGAAATGACCAGGGCAGAGGAGGAACACCAGACAGCCTGCCACAGCCAGAGGGAAAAACAGGGATGGGCTCTGAGCCTCTGGGAGCCCTCAGGAGGCTGTAGGCTCCTCTCTGCTCCCCAGGGATGTCAGTCCGACCTACCACAGGGGACAGGGAGAAGATCTCAGCCTCCTTCCCATCACATCCACTAGGGCTGTAGGAGCAAAGGGACTAGATCACTTAGGCTCACTGTTGCATTCACAGGATCTACAACAGTCCCTGGTACACCGTGGGTGCTCAAGAAATATTTCCTGTTGAACGAATGGATGGTTACAGGGTTCTGAAACTCAAGTTCCAAGGGTGACCCTGCAGTCCCGATAAGCCACTATTTAGTAACCTTTATCTCCAGGAAGCCATTCCATGTATTTTTTACTCTATAAAAATGTAAAAACATAATGTAGGATGGTATTTTAAAAATCTGTGGGATTTTAGTGAGAGTTACCTGAATTGGAGTGAACGTCGGATGATGGCCAGAGACATGAAGTCACCCCTCCCGTGTTCATTCTCCCCGCAATAGAGCAGTAAACCATCTTCTGCCTCCGCCTGTTGTACAAACAAACGCCACGCAAACAATGAGCACCACCTGGAAACACTCATGAATATGAAACCTGAGCATTCTCCCTGTGGTCCTATTTACAAAGGGGCAAGCTCATGGACTCCAATTAACTCCCAGTTGCCAATTCTCAGTTCTTTTCCCTTTAAAAAACGGCAGCGATATAAACAGTGTGTGACAAATGGCAGTGAGGTTAGAGAAAGGTGACTCCGCATTTGACCTGCTCTTTACTTGGCTTTGTGGGTCCACCAGCAGAGCTTCGGGAAAATGTGTGCAGAGACCACGGTCACAGAGAGGCTGTTTGCGTGTCCATCAAATTCTACTTCCACCAAAGAGCACTCTATTTGTTTTTGGTTTTGTTTTCATTCTTTTTACTTCCCTCCCTGTGGAGAAGCATGCAAATTTGCTTCTTTCCTTCTGTCAGGAGAACAGGACGATAAAATCAGCCCCACTGACAGACTAGTTTGGTTTTCACCCATGTTGGCTGCCCTAGCCGGAGACAGATCATCTTTTGGACGATCTCAACACTCAACACACTCAACACTGTGATCATGATCTCAAAGGAGGCTTGTTTCCAGGTCTCAAACCTTGTTGTCTGAGATGCCCGAAAGAATAACTTGAAGCTGAAGTCGCTGATTGAATTCTGATGTGCAGTTGATTCAAATCAGAGAGCGTCCGCTGGGCCCTCACTATGTGCGAGGGCTTTGTATAGCAGCTTTCCTATTTGTTCAGCTACAGCCATAGCATTGAGGGCAGACATTTGGGCTCCCTCTAAAAGGGATTTGGGAATGGGGAATGCATTATACCTCTGAAATCCTGGCCTGTGAGGAGTCACAATTATGAGCAACAGAGCTGGGACCTACACATTCTCACTGGTCGGCCAGTCATTTCCATAGTTCAGTAGCATACAGGACCCACCCTCCACTCGCTGGCACCCTTGAATGTGTGAACGTGCCCAGTGTTCTCACTACCCTGTGAACAGGTTTCAGGACAGGCCCTGTGTCATATTTACCTTCTCTACTTACCTCCCTGCTTCCTGCACCCCCACCCGACCACATCTGATGTGGCACAATGATGTGTTAAGCTGCCCATCCAATAGGCATTCATCAAACAACTAATCCTTCTTACCCTAAATTCAAGAGTAATTTGAAATGCCTGATAGGAGTTCTTCAGAGGTTCAAAGGTTACAAAGGAGTGGCCAAAGAACTGAGGATACTGTATAACAATATCTAAAAAGAGAAAAAGAGAACATAAAAGAATGTTATTTCCTCACTTCTTCAAGTGCAAAAATCAATATATGCCGTTGCCCGGATATCATTAAGTGAAAACCCCTAATAATCTATTAAACCTAGCTCATTATTGTCTCTACTTTTTACACTTATGATTCTCATTCTTGGGGACTTAGAGCTTCTGAAATTCTTAGGGAGAAACTGGAGATTGTTAAATTGCTACCTAAAAAGAAATCAATGGCTTTAAGACCACTGACACCTGTTTTCCAGCTGTACATTTGTGTAAGCGTAAGTTGGCTCAATTATTATCTTTCTTAACCTTCACGCAACATGCTTCAGCTGCATGTTTTCGGTAGAGATGTGATCAAAGTAAAGTCCACCTCTCCAAGGTGCCTTTAGGATGATTGCTTCAAAAGTACTACATTTGTGGCACACATAGACACAAGGCTGCTATTCAACTAGAAGCAACAGAAGTTGCCTTACCTTTTTCCTGTGTAGCTAATTTAATCACGAGTACATAGAAAAAGGGGCTTCTCTTAGAAAAAGGGCTAGAAGAAACCATGTGTGGACCACAAAACTGCCCTCTGGCTCCCAATGGGACCAACCTCCCTACCACATTCTTTTCCCGACCAAGGGCCTACCTTCTGAGCAGCTCTCACCACCTCTGCCCAGGTTGCAGTGGCACCGTGAGCCCCCCCAGGTGTAGTCATTGACACAAAAGCTGTCAGCTGAGCAGAGCGTTTCATCACAAGACATGTCAAAGAGCCTCGGCATTATAGCCACACCATTCTTCCCTTTCCTCTCCGCTGGAGTGGGCTGAGGAGCCACTGTAGTCATTGGGAGAGACGCTAGGGTAGGGGGGACAAGCCTAGAAGTGGTCTTTGGGTTTGACCTGGGTGCCATCTTGGATTCCCCCCAAAATTTCTTATGTCCTCCTTTGATAGCAGGAAGTGGTTTAACCTAGAGCCAGAGAAGAGAAAGGATTCAGGATTAACACCAACACAGTGTTTAGACAGCCTCATTTATGGTTGGTGTCTAATACTTGAAAAGTCCCTTTTGTTATTTCTCAAAACTCTAGGATGTAGATGGCGCAGATAGTACTGACGCCAGTTTATGGATAAGAACTTTAGGCTCAAGGATTTTAAGTACCTTGCCCTGTGCTATACAGAAAACCAGTGGTAAAGCTGATATTACATGATTTTTATTGTTATAATATCATGAAGATGCCTCACTTTGTCAAAGAATTGTTCATTTCCTTCTAATACCTGACTGTATATTTTCACATGGTGGGAAATCTAAATATGTTTTTGCCAGTCAGCAGGCAGGGGCTGGCTACACAACATTAGCATGCTAGTTGCTACTAATTTATAAGCACCTGGAGCCTCATAGAGAAAATAAATACGTATTAAGAGCAAATGGGCCCGCTTAAATAAGTTTTAAGTAGAATGTTCATGGTCCAACAGCTAACTTGCCTTGTTCAGCAGGAAAACCAAAACACACAGGTTTTAAGAGCAGAGATTCTTGTTACCTCCTCGAAGGATATATCCAAATCTAAGTCGTCTTCAAATCCGTCATCATCTTCACTGACTCCCATGTCGGTTGTATAGCGGGGTCCATAGCGGCCACTTCCTGCCTCCTCAGGGCCTGCACAGAGAAAGGAGTACACTGTTGTCAACATATGCCTTCCCTCTGCCCCTTTCTATCCTAATTCAGCCACAGACAGGACTCTGCCAAATGCATCGCGATGTCTTGGAAACACACAAAGAATTCAACATGGAAGAGGAAGCATCAACGACTAACAAATAGAAAATGTTTCATCTCGTAAGTATTAAGGAAATGCTGATTAATGCCAGAAAAAGCTGCCGTTTTATACTGACAAGATTGGCAAAAAGGTAAACGCTGGGCAATAAAAGAATATTACCAAGGATGGGATCAACGGGGACTCATACACCAATGTTACATGTGTGCAACCATTTTGCAAAAATACTTGGAAATAAGTAGAAAACGTTCGTACCTTTTGACCCAGCAATCTCACACCAATTTAGCAATCTCACCCCAGCTTACAAAATCTGGAGAAACCCTCCCACATGTGTACCACAACATGTGCAAAACACATTCAGAGCATCACAATTTATAACAGTAAAAAGCATTTCAAATTTGCTATTCATAACAACAAGTAGCACCCCATATATCTGTCAATAGAGAATGGATAAGTGAATTACAGTAATATATATATATATATGGAATATATATATGTGGAATATATATATATATGGAATAGAATACTACATAGCAGGAGAAATGAATGAGCATTTAATGTGTTGACATGGCTTAATCTAACATTATTCCATGCAAAATATGCAAGTTGCAAAAGAACATATTCAGTTTGATGCCATTTATATAAAATTCAACAACAAACAAAATTTAATATATTATTTAGAGATAAATAAATCTATATATCTATCTATCTATCTATCTATATATATATATATATGGTTTAACTCCCCCAAAAAGTAAGACAATGACTAAAACACCTGGGGGAAGTTAGAAAAGGGATGTGAATGAGGTGTGAGGCACCGAAGCCTTTGGGTGCTCTATAATAGTCTATTTCTTAAGACAGATGCCAGGTACCTGTGAATATTCATATTATTTTTATATGAACTTGATGTATGAAATATTTCATCACAAATTCTTTGAAACAAGAAAGAGATATTGCACTAGAGCAAACAGTGCTACATCCAGAAAAAAGGGCCCCTACAAGGTTATCGTGGGTGCCACCATTTCCATCCATCTCAGCAGGACAATGGGATCTTTCAGACCTGGAAGGTGGCCTGAGAAAAACTCTTAGGAGACAAGGCATTGTCCTTTGGGAGACTGTCACAAAATCTACTGATCTGCAGCAGTCCTGACTTAGGCTCACACAGCTGGCACTCCCCCAGGGTATGAGAGTCTTTCAAAGTGCTGCTCCATAGCACCCCTATTTCCTCCCAATGGGTTTTCACAGGCACAGGTACTAGCTGCCTTCTCTAATCAGGGCACACTGGGCCCCAGCCCTTACAGCATAAACAACTCTGGCAACAGAAACTGACTTTTGTAGGTTGCCAATGCCCATCAGGCATCCAGTGTTTGGATGCCTGGTTAGGAAGGGAAGGGAAAAGAAGGGAAGGAGAGGGGAGGGGAAAGGAGGGGAAGGGGAAGGGAGGGGGCAGGAGGGGAAGAAGACATGACAAACATAAACTGAACTTAAAGCCATTCTGCTTTCAGAATAAGCTAAGCCAAACACCTTTGTCACAAAAGCAGACTCACCCTCCTTTAGGCAAAAAATAGCAAGCAGGTTGAAAACAGAAGGATGTGACAGAAAGGACAGAAAGAGGGCGTGGGAGCTTTCTGGTCAGGCACACTGCTGATCAGAAATCTCTGGACCAGGAAGAGAGAAAGGTGGTGAACAGGTGATCAGGAGACAGCAGGGAAGGAGCCGTTCTCAGGTGTTTGGGCACATTTTGGTGGAGGAGAGATGACACAGGGGACGTGGTGTTCTCACTACCCTCACATCAATTCTCCACAGTTTTATTTAAAATAGCCCACGTGTCAGTGGAAAATTCAAGCCTGTTGATTCCAGGTTTATACCTGGATGCAAGTTCTCTTAAGCCACCTGCATCCAGCCTGCACAGCTGTGTGCCAGATGTCTTCACACAAAAATCCAGGAATCTTGGAACACCACTTTCCTCTTTCTTGTCTCTCTGTATCTGTGTATCTTTCCACCTCTCTCCTCGACTCTCTCTCTTTTTCTGGGTCCTTTTCTTACTCTCCATTTCTGTCTATCTCTCTCATATATTCAAAATCGTCAGATTAAAGAGGAAATATTCCATTTGTCAGTAAAAGTACTATATAGCACATATGTGAAGAGAGCTGGGTCTTATTTCCAGGAAGCTGGCCTTTCTACCCCCAAGCTGTTCTCTCTGCCCTGTGCACATTCTTGCCATTCTTGTACTGTGTTCATCAAAGTCAAGGTACTCTTCACGTCGTCTTATGATGCCCTATCTGAAAAATAAAAACTTTCAAAGACTACCACCACTTACAAGATAAATCCTAGGCTCTTGGTTGAGAATTCAAGGATCTCAATGGTAACTCCTTGTTTTCCTCTCCTAAAAAAAAAAAAAAGTACTACTTTATTTATTTTTGAGGGAGAGAGAGAGAGAGAGAGAGAGAGAGAGAGAGAATGCGACACAGGCTCTAGGCTCTGAGCTGTCAGCACAGAGCCTGAGGTGGGGCTCGAACTCAAGGACTACGAGATCATGACCTGAGCCACAGTCGGATACGTAGCCAACTGAGCTACTGAGGTGCCCCCTGTATTCCCTCCTTCTTTCCCCCATCACCATGATTTCCTGAAACCTACTTTCTCCCCCGCAAATAACAGGTATGGTTGTGTGCGTAACATAATACATTTCTAAACTTTATAATAATCTTGCAAAGTAATTATGGCTCATTTCACTTTGTAGATAAGTAAGTTGAAGCTCAAAAAGGTTAAATGATTTGACTAAGATCAAAGACTTTGTAACTGGCCGAGCCTGACTCAAAGCCAGGTCTTTCTGGTTGCTGCTGTCCCAGTTGTCTGTAAGAGAAGCAGCCACTATGGAGGTGGAAAGAGCCTGGGAATTAGAAAATCAACATTTATTGACCATTTTTACTGTGCCAGGAACTTTTCATGCATTGTTTTTATTAATCCTCAAAAAGTCCTGTAGAAGTAGTATTACCTCCATTTCACCGTGTGGAGATAGAAACTCAAAAAGATTAAATAAGTTGCTCAAAGGCATGCAGATGATAAATGGCAGAGCTAGCATTTATCTTTGGTCTCTCTTTTGACTGCATCATACTATTCATAATCTGATTCCAAATTGTGTTTTCAGCCTTTTTTCCCCTATTCAAAAGTCCTAGTGGCCAAACTGGTCTACCAGTTGTCTCCTTAATATATCTTGTGTTTTCTCACCCCAAGACTGGTCATTATGTTTTTCCCCACATCACCATCTTTTCTTCCTCTCCTATATCCTACACATAGCTTACCTATCCTTCCAATTGCACGCATTCTGCGGAGACAGAGCTGAATGTACATCATCAAAATGCTAAAATCAAGTGATATTTTAAAAAGAGAACATCAGACTCTTTCCAGAGAAAAAATGGTTATTCCACAAAAGAGGGAACTACCAAGACCTCTAGGATGTTCCTCCAGCTCCTCCTGGTTAGGGTTATCCACCCATGGATGAGTGCTTCTAAATATGAGCTTGGAATAAACTTCCATATCTTGATAAAATCAGCATATATTTGAGGTGCTATTTCCACTGTCTGGACTCCAGGCCCTGGAATGCTGCCCTTGTGTTTCCCAACTCAGCAGTGAACCCCTTGATGGCAGGAGCCATAATTTTAGACTTCTTGACATCCCTTTTATTCATCCATTTAAATAACACTTCACATACTCATCAAAGCTCCCTCTAGGTACAGAAGACTCTCCCACAATGGCTCTGTCTTGACATTCTGGCTCTGTCCTGGCCTGGCCTAGCTGGCCATGCCTATTTAAGCAAGAGAATATCTGGAGGGGAATCCTTACAGGGTGAGACTCTGCCCCTCATCCAAACATATTCCCATCAAACTACCACCATCCTTGTCCCTTTTCAATTCATCAATGTCCCTTGTCCCAACTCAGACTAAAGTTGAAAGTTCAAAGAGAGCCTAGACACCATCCAGTCCAAACTTCCCATTTCATAAATATGTAAACTGAGGCCACAAAGAAAAGTGACTTGAGATCAAGTTCATGCATCTCATTAGAAGATCTGGGGCCATACTTGGATCATATGACCTCTAGTTCAATATCCATAATACCCTCTCATGCAGACCTTTTGGTGCTAAGTATCTAATAAGATACGTCAATCAGGAGAACACAGAGAAACTGAGGATGGGTGCAGGTAGCTGAGGTCTCCTCTTGCCTATTAGCCCACCTAGGAAGTCTGTCTTGAAGGCAACTCCTTAGAGAAAAGGACCGCAGATGCATTGCAGCAGCTATGAAATGGTACCTTGATGAGAATGGAAATCATTCCAGATTCCCTGTTCTTTCCAATGAGTAAAATAAGGCATATATTATTCATTGGATACAATCCTTTGGTACTTATAAAAATTAGTCTGTTTCAACACGATATCACATATCTTTTTGAAGTCAGAGGCTACTTCTCAGTTTGGGGAAACAAAGGATGTGAGATAAACAAAGGGAAAGGAATATGGAATTACAAGAGTCAAAGAAATTTTGACTTTTAAAGAAAGACTTTAGAGATCAGCGAGCACAAGCCCATTTTACAGAAGAGTAATCTGAGGCTCATAGAGTCCATGTGACTTGCCCAGAGGGACAGAGCACTGGTGGCAGAGCTGATCTAGAATTCTGGGCTCCTGATGATGCTTTCTGCCAACCTTTACAACCTGTCAAATTCCCTGTCCCTCATAATAACCCGGGCTAATAGTAATTTCCCACTTTTAAGGACAAGAGTACAGCATGGCTAGAAGAAAGCTGGAATAAATCTCTCTACTCTTGTTCATGGACGGCCTCACCACCTCAGAGTTCAAATCCACAGCTTACATGAAGTTTTTACCAATGCCGTTTC